ATAAATCAAGGAGTGACATCAATGTGATTAACATTCCAGTAATGAATTATATAAGCCTTGAAATGGAGAGATCTTTGTACATTACTTTAGAAATGATCAATATAAAAAATTTGTAAATCACAAGATTAAAATATCAATGCATGTATCAATGTTTTAGGCAATTTTGCGATAATTAATTTCATGTGATGTTAGAAGAATATGGATCACACCTCATGAGTTTAGGCTACTCATGACTTCCAAAAGCACATGTTTAGAGTTGTTGATGCGAAGTGTACATAACCATGGAAAAGTGTCGACATCAACAACATAATACTTTTGTTTTGTTAGAAATAGCAAATGCATCGAACAAATCCGACTCCAATTCACAAAATGCTGATAATTGAGAATCAAAAGGAATTTACACGGTTGACTCATCATTTGATGAATTTTACGCAATTGAAGCAATTTCAAAAATATTAATTTCACTAGAGAAAAAATAACCTGCAACACAAATTATGAAGAAGCCAATTTTGATAGATAAATAAATAGCCTGAAAATTGTCAAATTACAAAATTATCATATCAAAAGAGAGAATGTTTATGCCACTTGTTGCGTAAACTTATTAATTTTTTTGCCTTCAATTACAAAAATTTGAAAAATAACAAATTAAAAATGCAAAAAATTGAACTTGTACAGAATGCAAAAATCAAGCCAAAATCATACTAAATGAAACTCAAATATGTTGAAGTGGTGAAAGTAAAAGTGGAAAATTTACCAAAAGCTGGATTCATCCGACCAATGAAAAACAATAAATGGATATATCCAATCACGTTGGATTCCAAAAAAATGGGAATAGCTTTTGAGTATTTGCTTGAACTAAAAGAACTTAATGACGTCACGAAGAAAACTTGATATTTTATTTTATTTTGTGACAAAGTTCTTGAGCAGATGGGAGGTCACAATTTATACTCTTTTGCATATGGATGCAGCAAATTTCATCAAGTGAGTATCACAAAAAAGACTAATTGAAAATTACTTTAACGTCATCATCAGACACCTTTTGTTACAAAGTAATGTCATTAGTACTTTGCAATGCTCAAGTTATCTTCCAACGACTATTAAATAAAGTATAATAAATCATACTTGAAACATTTTGTAAGAGTATTAATAAATGATTTTGGAATTTGTGCTGATCGAGCATTGCATTTGGAGAAATTTAAAAAGCTTTTTGAAGGCTTTGATGAGTTAAAAATCACATTTAGCTCAAAAAATATATATTGGATCTTAATATGGTTGATTGTTAGGTCACATCATTTCCAAGAAAGAGTTTTGTATATATTCAAAAACAATAGGAGCTATGTTAAGAGCTTCATTTCCTACCACCAAATGTGAAGTTAGAGATTTTTTTGGAAATTACTGGTTATTATCGTCGATTCATTGAGCGATACGCAATGATCGCCAAAGCTTTAAGTAGGTTCTTGAAAGTTTATGTTACTCCTTTGCAAGATACATCGTAGGCGTTGAAAATTTTAAAAAACTAAAGCAAGTATTATTTTCAGCATCAATTTTATGAACTCCGGATTTGAAAAAGTCATTTTTCTAATTTACAAATGCAGTTAGAGAAGGAATATGTGCAACGATTGTAAATCGCGCATGTATAGATTATACAATTGTGAATTTTCTTTCACAATTGAAGAAAGAGATGGACATTGTCTCCGAATACGACAATTTTTTTGATGCAAAATTAATGTCAATCAACATTTACACCAACCAGATGAGAATAGAGATGTAATTTGATAGCTCAAAAGTATGAAATTTACGTATGATGCAACCAAATCAACTACATTGATATGTCAATATTTTATTTTTGTGGAAGGAATGGTATTTTTTGTCGTGCGATGGAAAAAGCAAAGGTTTCACAATTATTACAAGAGTTTCATGAAGGCTTTTGTGGAGTAAATTTTGCGTAAAGCATCACAATGAAAAAAAATTATGTTGTAAATATATTATTGCCCAACTATGTTTAAGGATATTTTTGACTACTATAGACATTGCAAAGTATGTCAAGCATTTACAAAGAAATCTACGGTTAGTAACAACTTGCACACTATTCTTCAATCAAGACCATTTGAAAAATAGGTTATCGATTTAATGGTCATTTTGCTGGTCACAAAAATGGTACACTGTTTTATTGTGATTGCCACATATTATCTCACAAAATTTGCAAAGGTTTGGATATTGAAAACTTTAGCAAAACAATGGTGTAGCACAATTTTTGTAATAATGTATCGTTACTTGTTTTGACATCATAATATGATGCCAAAACAATGAAAATCATTAGTTTTAGATATGACTAAAACTAATAAGTGTCAATTTACAAGTGACTTATAAAAAAATTTGATGAAATGTTTAGTGAATAAAAATAGATCTACGACTATGTACAAATCAAGTATAGACGCACTAGTAAAACAAACAAACAAGATTTTGTTTACTATGATTGCAAAGTAAATGGAAAGAAGATTAAATGCTAGTGATTTGAGTATCAAGATACATCATGCAACTTGGATATAAATGAAATGTTCAAAACAACTACAAATTTTCTTGTCTTGTTTAAATATGACATCAAGGCTTTGCTTTCGATAGATTATAAACATAAGATACTTTTGCACTAATTCTGAAGCACATTTAGATCTAGATTAGTGGCAACAAAGAATATTGATGCAACTTAACAAAGTTAATGATGTTCAATTGCAGGCAAAACATGCAATTGAGGTGGCTCAACCAAAAATGAAATAGTCGTGAAATGCGAAGGTAAAAAACGTATGTTCAAAGCAAGATAATTGGTGATGATAAGTGATTCAAGACACTTTCAAATATCTTATAAAAATTACTAATCAGTCATTTGGATTGTATAAAATTAAAAAAATTATTTTGAAAAACGATATCTATATTTTTTTCAATTTAGATGGCAAGAACTACCCAAATCGAATTAATCATAATAAGTTGAAGAAAGCTTATATAGACTTGTTAGACTAAAACAATTCTAAGTATGGACTTTGCAATAAGTGTAGGGCTAATGTTATAGAGTGAGACTCGGCGAACAAGAAATCTTGTAAGAGTTCTAAAAATTTTACTTTCACCGTAACTTTGTAAACATGTTCAAAGAATTTTTAGCTCTTTAGAAAATTAATAAATCCAACAAAAAATTGTGTGAATATTGAAACCATGCATAAAAAATATAATTTTATAGCTAATAGTGCCCGTCAATAAACAATCAATCATGCACAGAGCAACTTGATAAATCAAAGATACTTCATATTTGTTTAACAAGATTGATAATATATTCTTATTGCATAAGATCATAATGTGTCTTAGGAAAAAAAACAGTAACACAATATCAATATGTACCAAGATAAATGAAATGAAAGGAGAAGTCCATATCAAAGAATGATAGATATGGTTTAATTCATATATAATGTGAGTACTGCCTAGTTCACACACAAAAATTTGAAAATTGCTAAAATAAAGAGAGCGTCTAGTTATCACTCACTTAGGGCTAATTAATACTCACTCTACTATATGCAGTTATCTGATTGGTCCATGCAGTGTTGTGGATGAGTAGCAACTAATTCCTAAATAGGTTATTCTACCAATTAGAGACGAGATTATAGTAAGACTAATTAACCCTAAGTGAGTGATAACTAGACACTTAAAAAAATAGTATTTTGTCTTCAATAATTTATATTACGTATTGTTAATAATTTTTTTTGATTAAAGTCACTTAGAAATAATATCTTTGATAACTCTAACCTCTAATACGATAGTTTATATGAAACATTCCCCTTTGACAATTTAAAGGGTTTTTATTTAAGAAACGAATCTGAAATCCTTCAAATGGACATCGAACAAAACAACTCCGGCTACGCCAACGTATTGTCAGATCTATATCTGCAGTACACTGTATGTAGTCCGATATGTTGAATGGAAAGCAAGACAAAAAAAAATATGACAACCACTTTAGGAGGAAAGGAGGGGCGCTCGAATGGCATCATGGCGTCACGAGAGACCTCACGATTAAATCCCATACACTCGCCCCAGAATCGCTGTACAAGACTCAAACTGACGAGAAAGGCGACCAATGGGATTGAAGAAAGATGGCAAGACTGAAGCTGATATATTTGGCAGCACGTCGACTGGCGCGACTGCGTTCTGCAGGTGTGCGGAAGGCCTGATTTGGCAGTAGCGAAAAATCCGATCCACTGTAGGGCTCCTTCTCGACTTCGCCGATTCATGATGTCTTTCTTCAGAAGGAAAGTGGGAAACAATATACAGACAGGAAATAATCAGGACAGAAAGCCAAAAGGCCATCGGCGCTGTGAAATTGATCGGACCCCAGAAGTATAGCCGACCAAAGCACCACTACACTACCATACATATACCACTATACACTACCATGCTACACGTACCATATTATACAAAAATCGGTTATACTGTACGGACCATCTATTTCCGGCCTTCACCGGGAACGGTTTATATATATTTGTAGGTTATTTTATGATACTTATGTTGAATATGCATTTATTATATATTTTAGATCAAAATATATAATTAAAGAGATTAAACTTGGTCATCATATAGATGTGAAAAATTTATGTTACACTATAATTTTTTAAAGTATTGCTCTGGGAATTAACTAGAAATTTATTTTAATGTCTTGTTCCTTGTTATATTTTATGTTTTTCAATCTTTGGGTCCCAGGACTATCTTTTATATTTTGAAACTCTTTTTGCAGTGTGTTTATTAGTTCGATAGACATAAGCAAATAATAATCGCCCTTGCGACGTATACCGCGATGAATCTATACGGAGATGTATAGATTCATCTCAGCCGCTGGCTTGAGAGTCCTCACCCTTTATCCGTCCGTCCGGTCTCGGGAGGTACCAGGTAACCTGTAACCCAGCAGGCTGGTCGCGGTTACAGGGACAGGCCCCGGGGTTAGCAAGAGGGACTAATTAGTCGACGATCCTGCAAAGCTGGCCGGATCAAATTCCGGTCTCACCATTGAAGCTCCACAGGCGCTGCAGTAGACGCATTGTGTGTGGACGACAACCAGAGGATTCTTGAATTCTTTTACTCCTTCCCCCATCCGATTTTGCTGCTGCCGTCGTCGTTGTGTCCGGATGATGGCGGCATTATCGTCCGCACATCTGCTTCCGTTCGGCTCCCTGCCGTCGCTGCAGGCGATGGGCAGCAGACCACGCGCTGTATCTTTTTCTGCCTCCAGCAGTAGCCAGCAGTATGGATCTAGTTCTCACATTTGCCGGGTATCGACGGTTTCCCCCAGTACTGTCACTCCACCAGGTAATTGACCAGACAACCAGCCGTCTTTTGTCGATTTTTTATTCAACATATGCTCACAATCGTCTGCACTTTTTGTGGAGATTAATTTGAGTCAACTAACTGAATCGCACGCACGTTATATCTGGCAAACAAGCTGGAAAAATTCAGGGATGAGAAAAAAATGTAGGGAGTAAACTCACATGTTGGGAGTAAATGAAGATACTGAAGTGGTAATATCTGAAATCAGTCCGCTGATATCAATCGTGTGTTCAATTGCCGGTTTGTGCATGACATTGTTCTACTCACACAAGCTTTTCCTGCGGGAGGTACTCGGAACTCGAGTGTTGGATTCACTAAGTTTTGAGCTCCTATCCCTCTCGGAGAAGAAATATCCTTGGGATTTGACGACTGCTTGAACACAATCTATCTAATCATGAAGTGAACACCTTCAGATTCAGACCCGGAGAACGGATTTTCAGCAGAACAACGAGAATGGAATGTTTCAACTCAGCTGCTCCATAGTGAAGGCACATTTGATAGCTTTGCGGCAATGTCTCCTCCTCTCTATCAAACTGCTACATTCAGACAGGTAGGTTCGTTCAGCTTTCAATCTGAATGGATAAAAGAAGCTCGTTGTTGTTTCGTCAGATTTTCCTTCTCAATTGTGGCTCTACAGTTAATGGCTCAAAAGAAAGTGAAAGTACTGTAATTAGTTGGATTTGGTACAAAGGTAAGTCTTCTCTATAAATTTACTTACAATTTACAGCATAGTATTCTTTGGGTGCATTTTGATGGCTTTAATGGTATATCATATGCAGCCTTCGGCGACCGAGGGTGGACCTTATGACTACACCAGAAGTGGCAATCCGACACGTGACTCGTTAGAAATGTGAGTGGAATCATTCATGTGGTTTTACATTGTTGCCAGTTGCCACAGTAGATCATCACCTCTATCCATCGATTTTTTTCCATCCTGGTTTGTTTTGGGTGTGTATTATCTGGGTGTTAGACTATTGCCCGGTTCCAGTTTTGTCATTTTGTAGGATGGTCACAGATTGTTTAGTTTTATTAATTATTCAACAAATTTATTCGACACTTGTTTCTTATCACATGTCATTTGGTACTTTTCTAAATATATTATTTATTTCTCTCACCCAGGTTGTTGGCCAAACTAGATGGAGCTGATCGAGCTTTTTGTTTTACTTCTGGCATGGCTGCTCTAACAACTGTCAGCCATCTTTGCGAAGCAGGTAAATATTCAAATCGCGCTCACAGAACTCAAGAACTTAGATGTTCTCCAGTTCACCGGTTGCGCCCTCGCTGCCGTAATGGCTGCGAAGTCTGCTAGTAATCTTTGTGTTGTTCTAGTGAATACACATAGTTCGGAGAAATATCTCTTTGCATGTGACATGGTTTCCCAGTCCACGTGTTATGTGTTTAGGTCGCACAAATAGCAGTTCCAATTCTACATTCATAATAAGTTCCATTTTGTCCCGCAATCAGAGCACTAGCTGGAAGCGTAGGAGTGTTGCCTTCATTTTGTTTTGTTGCAAAACTGCTCAGCACCAGCCTAGTGGATGGCATCACGTTTGGTATCACCGCCTGCGTTTCTTTCGTCCTCTTAACATCGCATTATCATCTACTTTGGTTGGTTAAAAAGGGATTATTGGTGTCATGCTGACTTGAAGGATTATCGATCTATGTAGTAAGGCTGCACCTATAAGAAACCATAGCGAGGCAGAACTTGTTTAGTATGAGTATGAAAATTTCTGATTTGATCTCTTTGAACATTCGCATCATGGACTAGGTCAAGAAATCCTCGTCGGCGATGACATATATGGTGGGTCAGACAGACTTCTATCAAGAATTGTTCCGAAGAACGGGGTTACGGTCAAGTAAGTCTTACTGATTCTAGTTGTTGTCCACCAATATCAACGATGAACATGTTCTGTTGGAAAAGTTTGTTAGACTCTGTCAGACGTAGAATCTAGAAGTAGATCATATATGTTGCAACCGTTTCTAAAATCTTGCTCTTACCGTGTCCTGGTGAGTTAAAGCTGTGAGCCTTCAAGATAGTCAATAGAATCTTCCTAGGTTTTATGTATGATTGTTGTGTGTATGTGTGAACTTGATCTTTTACCTCGTCATTTGTGATTTGCTGTGCTACTTAACAGACGAGTTGACATGGGTAATCTTGAGGAAGTACAAGCAGCTATCGGTCCCAAAACTAGGCTAGTTTGGCTTGAGAGTCCAACCAACCCTCGGATAATGATTTGTGACATTCGGGTATATATTATTTTTCCTTCTTTGTTGAAAACGAGACTATGGATTTATTCATGCCTAGTAGTTCTTATGCCAAACAAATTTCTTTCATGGCAGTTTTAAGATGGGGTATTTTCTTTCTCTTCGGGATGCTGGTGCTACGACTGATATGGAAATCTTGCAGGGAATAGCAGATATTGCGCACAAGTCGGGAGCGTTGTTGATGGTTGACAATAGCATTATGTCTCCTATCCTCTCCAAGCCTCTCGAGTTGGGTGCAGGTATGAGCAGAGCCTTGTCGTTTGTTTGTTCAACTTGAAGATGTAAAGACAGTGTGAAGTGCATAATTGTTTGATATGTTCTTTCAGGTGTGTCTGATTTCTCCAACTTGATAGTGCAAAGTTCATGATTCGTTTTTGGTTGAAAGAACTTCACTTTAATACTTATTGGCTTCCGTTGCCTCTATGCAAGGTTCACAGACATTGTTATGCACTCTGCTACTAAATTCATTGCTGGCCACAGTGATGTTATGGCTGGTGTGCTGGCCGTGAAGGGCGAAAGGTAGATTATTCATCGAATACAAAAGCCTTTTTCAAGCTTATAGTTATTTTTAATTTAGACACTTTCATGTTTGTTCTTACAGGTTATTTCATCGTCATCGTGATTTTGTGAAACAATTGCTTGGCCTCCAAATCATCTTGATTAGTAAGTGATGGGCTGATCTTAATAGGAGATAAAATCTGGGTGCTGCAAGATTATTCGAGGTTAACAATTTCAGTGCGATGTGCAGTCTTGCGAAGGAGATATACTTCCTTCAAAATGCTGAGGGTACAGGCTTAGCACCGTTTGACTGCTGGCTATGCCTCCGTGGTATCAAGACCATGGCGCTTCGCGTTGAACGACAACAGGTACACCAGTCGTACTGCTTATCTGATTCTTATGCGAGGTTATACCGGGAGTTGTAAGGAAAAAACCATAGGATCTGAAGGCCCTTGGGACTGTTTCTCTAATTCTGAATGTTTGTTTGGGTGGTTTTAGGCCAACGCGCAAAAGATTGCGGAATTCCTACTGAGTCATCCCCGTGTTAAGAAAGTAAACTATGCCGGCTTACCTGGACACACCGGGCATGATCTGCATTTTTCTCAGGTACATATTTGTTACCTAACCTACAACGATGAGGGACATGTTGACTCAAGAAGCTTTACCTCATTTAGTGGGAACCAAGTTGAATGTACCTCAAGATCATACTTTGGATGTTCTGAAGTTATGAACATGTAGAAAATACCTACTTTTTCTTGCATGTAACAGTCTTTTCATATCCGAAGAGACGCGAGCAGACGTGTGATAATCATTTGGCAAAGTATTTTGTGACTAAATCTGTGTATTAAATGTATGTGAGCAGAGCAAAGGGGCAGGATCTGTATTGAGTTTCACAACAGGCTCACTGGCCGTCTCCAAACATATCGTTGAAAGCACGAAACTTTTCAGCATCACAGTTAGCTTTGGTACAGTCCGATCTTTGGCCATCTGATCGATCCATAAATCTATTTTTCAGTGAGTTACTCCTGACATGACACCTGTTTGTCTTCGACAGGGAGTGTGTCATCGCTCATCAGTTTACCCTGCTTCATGTCTCATGCAAGCATTCCTGCTCATGTTCGTGAAGAAAGGGGATTACACGAAGATTTAGTCCGACTTTCTGTGAGTAACCTTTGCCCATGTTTCTCACAGATTGTGAATTGACGATGTGCTTCATCTACCATCTATTATGGTCTGCTTACTGGGGTGAATCATGTAGTGAAGAGTTCTCTGTTTGACACTCGGAAGCCAAGTTTCTGAGTATGAGATGCTCAATGTGTGAGATGTTCCCTCTTAGAGATTCTCTCCTCCTTTACTTTCTTTCGCTTCTTCCGCAATTACCAGTCACGAGGTGGAGTCTATGATGGGGGAAATTTATTCCCACCTAGAAAAAATGTCCATTCAACATCTCTAGCTTGTTTTCCATCTCAACAACTTCCAGCATTTCACTCCTGTTATTTGTCTAGTCTTTATTTCGCATTTTCTATGTTGTCATGGTGGAATCGCCTCGAGTAAAGTGTCATCTTTGTGGCACAGTTTGAATATTGTGCGTATTTATATCCTTTATTAGCTTTCAGTTTCTCTTTAAGGATTCCCTGGGTAAGTTTGTTAGTAAGCATTTGTTGGGATTCATGTGACAATAATTTACATTCTTTATGGTTGAAGCTTATATTTGTTGCTGATTACTTATTCATTGCTCTTTGCATTTACTCATGTTTAAGTTCTGTGTCGCTAATTTGCAGTGAAGATCTATATTTCTTTAGGGCCTATTCCTAACGTCCCTAATCAAAAAATATTTCGGATAGAATGAGAAACGAAAAGTTACGATTTTACTTAGTTATCCGGCGATTGTGTCAAATCTATGTCGAGCTAACTGCAATAAGCTGGCTTATGAAATCTACCTGCAGTGAGTTATAAATTGGTCTATCTCTGCAAGCCTATAGAATATACTTTAAAGCCAATTCTATATGGGATTGAGAAGCAGCTGACGAGCAGGAGCAATTTTACCACAAGGAATGTAGTAGAACTATAGAGTACTTTATAGAGTGAATGAGTTCTTGCATATCACTTCGGTACTTGTGGCCTTTCTGATGTCTTTGTCAGGTTAGTGCGACTTTTTGACCTTTATTCGAGCTCCTTTGGTAAATGATTGCAGCTGTCGTTGTCTGAAAGCCTGACATGAGTTTGTTGCATGCTCTCCTCAGGTTGGGATAGAAGACGTTGATGATTTAATCGCCGACTTGGAACAAGCCTTTAGAACCGCACCTGCATAGGGAAACGAACTCGTACTAGCCTCTTTCTTACAAATTCAACGTACAAATTGTTCGTAGATATCGATTACTTTTCAAAATAGCCACGATTCCAGTAATGTGAGCTTTTCTTTCAAGTAGCATGCATTAGAAGTATATTATCCGGCAATTAATCTTGATTCTGGCGTAGAGAAGCGTGCTATGATCTAAGCCGTCGGTGTTCTGCTCACGGGCATATGCTGATGTGAAACATACCACATTATGTGCCATTGTACCTTAGAGGTTTCTAGTTCAGGAATTGAGTATCAAAATGAGGACAAACATCTTATTCCTTGTACAGTGTTGGTAGGAAATAATATTGCGCATAGCTACTCGATTTCAGAGCTTTGTCACGTAACAAGGTTTCTAGCATCAATCTACGGTGCTATCCATTCACTTAAGTATTGGTCCGGATCCCTATGAATGACTTCATGCATAGATTCTTTTGCACGTATTTGCCAATACTGTACATAGCTGTCGAAGGACTCCAAAGTCATCAATTACTTGTGACGGGGTCTGTATGATCAATTTGACAAAAAGTTGAGGATTTGCAAACAGAATTCTCCGGGCCAAAGTTGTCCTCGCTGGTTAATGTAAGCGGGAACAGATTTGGGAACCAGCCGACAATCTGGGAACGTGGGCACTCACCACTAAGTATCATGTCGCCAACTTAACCCTTTCTCGCTTACGACCTCGATGTTTTCATCGTCCCAAAGATCATATTGCATCATGGGGCATTAGAGTCTAGTAATTAAGGAGTGATGTAATGCATGCAATGGTGTGGATATGCGCAGTCACAACCACATCATGTTTATATCTTGCATCAAGACTTTCGAGGGTTCTATCAAACACTTGTAGATATACGAGTCTATAATGGGTATACAGTACAAAGATAACTTTTTACGTTCATATCCAGCAAGAACAACCGGCTCCAAATGTATACTTTAATTATACTCTAGACATATGAGCTCGTTGACCTTGTCAGGGCTTTAGGGACATAGTTCGAACCTAGCGCAACCATTAATAGCAGAAGTATAAATCGCAAACTGTACACGGAGGAGGTCTCTGTTCACGTGAAAGGCCGATGTCTGATTTCCCTGATGTCCCGGAGACCAATTCGCCTTAGTTGGGTTGACGATATTCCGCATTTGACTACGGGCGAAGGACGAAAATGTAACTGGGCGACGATTATTCCCGAGGAGAGAAAGAATTCAAGGTTCCAAAAGCAGCACTGCAGTTGGTAAATGGGTAGTGCAGTGCTTTAGTCCCGTTCTCTCGGTTTAGACCAGAGAGTGGTGTACTTTTCACCCTCTTACTATCTCTAATAATAAATAGAAGAAGCAATTAACCTCTCGGTGGTCTGGCCCCACATTTGGGCAGGCCTCATTCTGTCAAAGGTCCCGTTAGGGATTGGGGAAATTTGCAGAGGAATTCGAGGGTTGTACAGAGTTTAATGGTCGAGCTATTATTACGAGATATTGCAGTGAGTCGAGAAAAGGCAATGCGAGGAGAGAGGGCGAACTTTTAGTTCTTCGAGAGGTAGGAACTGAGAAAGGAGAGATCGGTATAGTGTACCGTAAGTCGAACTTCGTCGGTGACGAGAAGTTCAGCCTCAGTGGGCCGAAGCAGGGCAGCAAGGCGCGAGGAGGCGATTGTTGAGGGTTAGTTCGGTGACGGATTGATAAACTTCGCGAGCATTTTTCGAGGCAGCTTGCAGGATATCGGAGCAGCAATCAAGGGCAAGTCTCATTGAAGAGCTCTGCCGGACTTGAGGTGACCGAATTTTGGTGGCGTCTTTAAAATTCGTTTACAGCAGAGGCAATTTGCAGAGGTTGTGTTGGAGAAGAGAGCTGCAAAGATGTGGGCGCCTCTGACAAAGGAAGCAGCGGACATTTTGGGGAAAGGAATTTTTGAATGCATGTCTCGATGGACAGCGTTGCAGCTTGCGATTCAGAATGGGTGGGGCGGCCAATCCTCTAACGAGAAGTGCCAGCAGATGTACACGGAGATTTTGTCCTTCTTCACATGTTCTAAAGGTGGAGTCTCTCTTCCACCATTTCACTCCCGAATGCACATGTTCTTTTTAATGGTCGTGCGACTCGAACCGATTTGAGTCTTGATAGTCCATTCGTGTCGGTCATTGTAGAACAACGCTATATCGATGAAATGGAGGATCTGCTAGAGCAATTCATGGTGGAAAATTTCCATGTCGAGATCGAGGATGGGAGCGTTTTCGAGGTGACTCTTTCAGTCGAAATTCAATCAAGCCTTCTTTGTGCCCAAGCCTTCCTGCTGATATTTTGCGCTTTCTAGGAGAACTCGGATTTGAACTGTTTGCCCCTTACAGGTATAGGGAACTTCGAGGGAGTCTCTTCTCTGATTATCAAACGTGATGCAGGTTTCGGAGCAGCTTTTTATAGTACATGAAGAATGTGTAAACGGAAACTTTGAGAATGTAAAGCAAATGTTTGCAACAGCTTCTGGGAGTGGGGCCGCAAAGAGTAAGGAGGTGAGTACGAATAATATCAATACGCTGGACGTGAGTTTTGTGGCCTGTGAATTTGAACGATAGTGAGTTAGTCGTAGACGCCATTGCACTGACACTGCTCTCTACTTTTTCAGCTGCCAACGCAAGAGGGAGAAAACCCTCCTGCCCTGTCTGGAGCTAGCTCGTCAGGAGAAGATGATGATGAAATGGAGGATATGGAAGATGATATATTGCCTGCGTCTGCTCCGAGTGCAGCGTCAAGTAGAGCTCCGAAAGTAGTGCAGTCGAATTTGACCCAAGAGGAGATGGCTGATGGATGGCAAGAAGCTCCCGCTCGCACAAGGAGGCGCAGCGCAGCGAGGTGATCTTCGCCACTTGACAGGCCCAAGCAGCTGATGTTTTCTGCAGTGACAGTTCTGGTGAGGAACGGATCGTGGGAGATAATTTTGGAATAAAGTGCACGCTGTCTGTAAACAACGTTTCAGCTCAGATCTGGTCATGCTCTGTCCCGTCACATCAGAGATCGAGCTTCTCTCGTAATTGGTTTCGTGCAGCGTTTCCAAGTCTCTGAATTTTTTCGCCGCCTCTCCCTCCCCGTCTCCCGTCACATGTACCCTCACCTGACCCGCTGGACCTTCTCACCCCTCCCGTCTAATCATGACCAGGATATAATCACTAGAGCCTGATATGAACCGGGATTTGAAGTGGTTTCCTGTCTGCTGATTCTTAAACCCTTACGTTCGGTGGATTCATGAGTTTAATGCTTCCCTCAAAAGGTAGTGGTTCCCTGTCTGCTGTTTCTTAAACCCTTCGGTTCGGTGGATTCATGAGTTTAATGCTTCCCTCAAAAGGTAGATTTTATTCTCAATTGCAGAGTGGTCTTTTTTTGTTTTTTCAGATAAGGGAACTCTATCGAAATTCTCGGATAGAAAGTGTTTTTCAAACTTCTCCCGTGGTAATGAACTGAAGATTAACACTTAGTGAAGTGCAGTTGTGGTTGAGAGTGTCACTCTTTCAGGGCAGATGAAGCTGCTGGTATCAGCAGGATGTGTTCTGATACGTGGGTTATGTCAACTCCCCGGTACGAGAGCGTAGTCCAAAGTAGTACTGAAATATGTTACTGGACCCATTATAATTCCTAACTTGTCTGAGTTCAGCTGGTCGAGCTACAATTCATGTAGCTCGACTCGCCATGGTCGTCAGTGTTTTGTGAGAGGAAGATAACATAACTTGTGGAACTCTCAAGCAATTCTGGAGTAGAATAATAATTAGGTGTAACTATTATAAGATAGTAGTAATTTGAAAGTAAATAATATTTTACTAATGTTTTATTGTGACACTAAAATGCACAATAACGCATGCAGACTTGTTTGACAAAAGTGGGTGGAAACGTTTATTGACTAACTACAATCTATTGCTAATTTGGATTCATGAATTATATGTATCTTGGGTTTTATAGTGATATTGCTTTTGTCTAAGAATTAAACTTTTATATGTAGGACAGAAATTTCGGTTTTGAGTATGTTGTTGTGTTCATCAATGATATCTATATCATTTCAGTTAATTTTGCTCAAGATGAAAATCTGTACCTGTTCTTGATGCCTTTTTGTTCGCTGTCCGACTTCTTCGTGGAAGCGATTAAGTTCTGCACACAAGAACATTTAACTTATTCCACTTGTTACTTTAGGTTTATCGAACTTTGCACATTAGTACCAATGAAAGAATTCGTGTGTACTAATTTTTTATATACACTATGGCTGCTCGACACGATAATGCTGTACCATCCACCGTTGGATAGTATAGCTGAATTTTAAATCACGGCATGAAGATCAATTAAAAGTTAAAAGTCATCTACATCTAAAAAGATTCTACTTGATTGAGCACCGCATCCAATATTGATATTTTTTCATAAATAACTGATTCTATTGTCTACCAAGTATGAACCCAGTGACGTGTCAAATTATTAACTGATCTTTTCATTCCATCAAATGATTTTTATTGGTAAACTATAATTGACACTGTAAAAACAGTTGATCACAATAGTTTATCATAGAAAATTGTAATGCATATTACATTCAACTATCTCTGGCAGATATCATTACTCGAAAAGCTTTCAAATTGACTATAATAGAGATTTATGTTCTTGCTTCTAGTTATACATAATATATTGGTTACAAATTTGAAAATGATACTAATATTTATAACAATCAACTTTTTTAATTGACCAGAGTTTCATTCATAGCACACATCATTTAACTTTGATGAAATCTATTGAAAATTTGTCATTTTTTGGCAGGTTTAGTAGATAAGATGATAGAAAGAAGTCACATATTTTCAATTACTGAATAAGTATTAGTTTTGAAACATTTGGATACATGTTTTTTTATTTTAGTGTTCAAAATAAAGTAAAAAAATTATCATATAAATATATGACATTTTGATTTAATTTTTTTGAATATTTGTACTCATGTCTATATGATTTACATCAAATTTATATATGCGGGTCATCAGAGGACCAAATTTATAGTATTCTCTCTGACAGGTTAATATTACATGTTTTGCAATAAAAATGTGAAATGCAAAATCCAAACACAATGATATAATAATAATATTTTATTATTTAAAATAAAAAAAATTATATTTTTCAGAGAAAGTATGATTACTGTGTCTAATTTTCCGAGTTACAAAATTTGAGTGAAAGAAGAATTCCCGTCAAATTTATTTGAAAATTCTCAATTATAGTCTTGTAAATTTTATTTTTTTATACCCAATTTGGTTTTGAGTATCAAAATCCATTCTCCAATCGAGGAAGAACATTCGACTTAATACAATCTTGTATGTTTAATTGCAGTATGAAAATTAGTGTCAAAATGTGATGGTATCTCTTTTATAAGATTAAATTTTGGTTGGAAATTCAAATTTTGTTAGGAAAGATTAAAAATAGGAGAGATTTGTTTGATGGGATCCCTGCGGAAAATAATTTACTTGATGGGAACCCTCAGGTTTAGTTTTACCCGATGGGACCCCAACGACGGTGTGACGTCGGACATAGTTCTTGTAACTACGATTACTACTAGTTACAATGCGAGAATTACAATCAGAGATCAATCCCTGATTATAATTTCTGGTGGATTATCACGGGGACAAAGATCGATTTTGCTCGAAGTGCAATTTGTTGTGCTTCAATTCTTCCGATCGTAAAGATTCACGGATTTCTCTGTTGCCTCCCACCTGCACACTCCTTCCGTAACCCTGCGTGGTCCGAGTTCAAGTCTCGCGATCACCCATTTGTGGCGAACAAATAAACTCTGGATGAACATTTCTTTGCTCGTCTCCTTGGAGAGTGGCCGGATACAGAATGACAACATAAAAACAAGTGAGTGTGATGGAGTGCGAAGTCCACTCTGTCTGCGGGTGCGGTGGACTCGTTGCACTCTCTCTAGTTGTTATTAGAACATGGATGACGGTGCATCGTTCATGGGGTCCCATCGGTAAAATGAAACCTGAAAGGTCCCATCAAGCAAATTACTTTCCACAGTGTCCCATCAAGCAAATCTCTCTTAAAAATAATTATCGTAAAAGGAAGTTAGACCCTCTAGAACTACATAAGTAGAAGAAATGTTTTCTGCCTAAGTTTCATATAGCTAATAACGAAAGTATGTCAATAAATAAATATACTTACTTACTTAGAGTATATTCGAGTTATAGATTATTAAAGCAGAAGGCCTGTGGTCGGGTTAACTCTACCAATGTGTGATCAATCCATGGGAGCTTATCAATATGGTGAAGTGTACGCTTAGATATTCTCTCTTATACACACTGTTTTATATATTTAGAAAAATCAGAAGGAGTTTTTCGAGAGCAGGGCGCGCTGGTAAGATGTGAAAACATCCGATTCCATTCCGGCCTCGATATGTGAAGTCATCGTAAACCATTGGTACAGATTCATCAGTTTCGGGAAACATGGTCCGCATCCGGACAACGCACTTCATGAGGAATAAATATATGAAAGCCCAAAATATAAAACTGCTATTATACAAACACAGATAGATTTCGAATCCTCGAAACTCTAGTCCAGTCCTGCCATAAGATAACTACGACAGTAGTTTAAAGCCTGCTTTGCTGGTCCTTCTAGAAATGGCTGAGAAATAAAGGTGGTCTGGATACTATTTTGCTCTTAAAGGGCTTTACGAACTTGTTGCATGAATTTGCACGAGGGGGATGATAGAATGATACATTTATATTCTGATTTTCTGCTGCATAATTCGAATTAGAGCTCCATAGCCAGCCTCTCTATATAGGGTAAATTTCGTATGTTGCGTATCGCAACAAAATAAGGATAATTTTCAAAACAAAATACGGAATACACAAAACTTGACAGTTTTCGGCCTAATCTTAACCTAAATGTTTTCGGACGAATTAGACGCAATGTAATAAACTTGAGGATGAACTCATCAGGTGTCACCGCAAAGTTTTAGTTGAGTAATTCCTTTACTTTTTCATAAACGGTCAACTCAAAATTTTAGTTGAGTATTTCCCTTAGTTTCTCTAGTAAAGCCACCTAGATCTACAAAGACATTGTCACACACTGTCATAGCAAAGTTTTAGTTGAGTATTTCCCTTAGTTCCCTAGTAAAGCCACCTAGATAAACAAAAATATTGTCACAAACTTTGATCTCAATGTTTTAGTTGACATTTCACGTTCTTTTCTCTAGTAAAGCCACCTAAATAAACAAAGACATTGTCATCAACTTTCATCGCAAAATTTTAGTTTAGTGGCTCCCTTAGTTTATCTGGTAAAGCCACCTAGATGGCAAAGAATTTTTTTTTGGAAATACGGAACTTTCTGAAAACGAAATACGGCAATCAGACTCTCAAGTTCCGTATTTTCTAGAGAGCCTGTCCATAGCCCTTACAGTGCCTTCGTCCAAGTCAACTTTTCCCATGTCTGTCATCCACAAGAGTATTCCCCCTTCACAGAGCTTGGCCCGGAACTCGAACAGGGCTCTGGATTTCTCGAAACAGGCCTGCTATTATTCTCGACAAATCATTCGGCAGAAATGACGGGGCTCCGACAAATTGGATTTAATAAAGGACACCATCGCACGTGAACATGGGGGCGTCAACGTGGTTTGAGTGAACTGTCCGGGAAGTCATGTCGAGAAGACCACGCTACTGTGTATCGGCCAACCATGTAGCCGGCCGTCCTCCCGGAAGCCGGAGGACTCCACGATCGAAGTGGTGCCCATGTGTGCCTTCTGTCTCATGCCGCGTGTGCCCCTCGATCTCAGCAACCGACGCCCGTGTTTGTCGCACGCTCCCACCCGACCTCCAGACTCCGGGGACCAGGGACCAGGATCGAGGCTCCGTTCCGTTAGAGAACACCGCCCCGCTGACCCAGGCCCGTTCCGCCTTCCTCGGTGAAGTTACCCGCGCTCCCCTCGAAGTGTCCATGCGATCATATCGGACGGCTGAAAGCTTCCCTTGAATATATTCCAGCGTAGATCGGTGTATAGAAATTACTTACGTTTCATAGAATATTCTCAATACATTCGCAACGTGTACGGCGTTTGGGCAAGTCCTAAGCCTCTAAGCGCTAAAACAGAAAGAAACACGTTCAAGCGTTACGTTGACGGATTTTGAAATCTACTCCAGCTCCCAGCTCGCTCACTACAGACATGCGTCGAACATTTAATTCGGATTACGGATACAGCAATCAGGTCAAGGCAAGATAGCAATAACTCGTTTACACTATCGCGCTTGCGAGCAATTAATTGCACAATCTACTCCTACAATAGGACTGTCAGCGAACGTGACACGGGCGGTGAATTAAATTTAATTTGCTATAATGCGTGGAACATTAAACTGTATAGAGTTATCGATGTTTGCAGGAGAATGCAATTAAGGATTTTATATTGTGCCTCTCTTTGATTAAATGCTCCTGAATGCTTCCCGAGTCTTTGAGGTTAACAAGACTCGACTGTAAGTAAGTCTTCAGTCGCTTCATAGGGCCGTGCAATTATCGGGATTCGATAAAATGCTCATTTCGTTTAACGAACGAGGTCTCGATGGACATTAATATGAAAGAGTGTACCGTCGGCAAGAGAAGACTGTCCCAAGGGAGAACAGAAAGCAGAAAGCAGAAGCTTGGGCATAAGCCAAAGCGGGAAGAAAGCCGAAGAGGCGCAGATTTTTTGGACAAGTGTTTCGTATCTATCCGCGGAAGCGATCCAGCAGCCACACACGCAAAGTGGAGATCCTCGCGCGGGCCTGCCGGATGGAGAATAAGGATTCTCTCGCGTCTTGGCCCTCGTCTCTTCATCATTGCGATGGAGTTCACAGTGTAGTTTCCACGACAAATGGTAATTCGCCGACCTATTATCGTGGTCGCCCGCAGTAACACACGCTCGTTACCTCGTGATAGGGGCAGGCAGCCCTAGCTCTGTTACGAGGGTGCAGGAGAAGACAGCATGTAGTAAATCAGACGTAACTGATAAAGTCTCTCTGGCGTCAGAATCATTCCCTCGTCGTCCATACACCTGGCGTCTCAGCCAAGGCAAAGCGGCGAAAATCTGCAGCTGTCTGCGGGCTTGTCACCAATCCGGTGCAGGATCCTAGAATCCGGGCTACTTCAGAATAGAAGCGAGGGATCTGGAATTAGCGCGACTGGCAGAGGACTACCTGTTAGAGTTTCACTTTTGCTCTTACCGAATGCTGAGAGGGACTTACTTGTCTTCTCCGCGAGACACCAGGCCGAAAATAGGAAACAGAGAACTTCTGCTTTGACGCGCCGTTGTGGGTGTAGCGGAAGACTTGACATGACCCGTCATTTGCGTCATCTGCTCTAGGAACTCGGTTTCCAGATTTGTATCAAGTTGCTGGATTTGTCGAGACGGGCTCGCCTTTTGCCATCGTCGGTGTGCACTTCCATGACATGATTCTCTAGCCTGGACGTTCCGAGAGCCCGGCAATTGTAGAGCGCGGAACGCAGGTTCGTTGAGGTCGTCTCTATCTCTCTCTCTGGGAGGGAGGAATTGAAGCTGCGTGGGAGTTCGAGCTTCGCGAAAGAAGAGCGAGTTCCATCTGCTGATCAGCTTCAACGCTCTGCATTTAGTGTGCTCTACAGTGTTTGCGCGGAACGAGAATGCCTGGCGCTGCAGCTTCATCCACTGGCCATTCTTGGCACGATAATTAGTGCAGCACTGCATTTACGAATTGGCGTATTTCTCGCGGACGCTTGTGAATCAGTCTCCTATTTCTATCTGCGTACATCTGTTCAGCTGGGAATTTCTGCAAAAGTTATTTCACCCGTAGTGGTGATGGCAGCTTCTCACTCCATGAGGCCATGTCTTGTCAGTTCTCCCGGCACGAAGCTCTCCCCTGAATTTCATATTTCTGTCATGAGTTCGTTGCACGTCTACCCGAACGGAGTACGTTCGTACCGGGTTTCGTCGAAGAGCTGTGTAGTGAGAGATCTGGTCGGAACGAAAGTTGTCGAAGCAGGTAGTAATTATCACGGAGCAGAGGGTGGAACGCGTATGATTAGAGGCCAGTCTCTTCCGTGCTCCTGTGTACTGGGTAGAAATTTCTCGGGAAAAGCGGAGATTTACTTTGGAACTGAAATTTCCTCCTCTTCGTCAATTTCTGGAGGTCTTGGAATGAAGTCTGTTTGTGGAGAGGTATCTGCGTTTACATTTTATCCAGCAAGGTATACGGGCAGAGTTGGTTCACAGCGTACCAGGCTGAGAGCAAAATTAGGTGGAGATGGGGACGTGGATATCAACGGCGACGTTGTTGCCGAAGACTACTATTCTGTGCTCGGCTTGGTATGCATCTCTCTCCTACCTTCGCGTGAGGGGCTTGAAGGCTTGGGACTGCGATTTCGCTTGAAATTACTTGTGATCCTCTTGCACCACCCAGCCTTGTCTATGCAAGCAACTCCACGCCCTGCATACCGAACAGCTCACCCTATCCAAGCCTTCGATTCAGATAAAGCCTTTATCTGGAGAACAGGACATAGTATAGAGCCAACATACCCGATCCATGTTCCTCAGACGCTGCCCATTTTCTTCTGATCGATTTGTTTTATAGTAACCCCGAAATGAGCGTCTGTCTTCTGTTTAATCCTGGAACTTACAAACAGAGTTATTTTGTGACCCTTAAAGTGATCTCTGTCATGCTTACTTTGATCGTTTGTTAGTCAAACGGTTATACGTGATTGGTTCCTTGTCCTCTGTTGTAGGTTCTGCAGTTCATGCTCCAATCACTGTGGCGTTCGCATTTTCTTGTCAAATGTTGAAGCTCTTCTCGAACCAGGTGTCATGATCCACTTGTCTCTCTTTTCGGACTTGTCTCATGTGTACCAATCGAAACGACAAGTGATAACATATCGAATGACTGATTCCCTGGTGCTTTTGCTATGCATTTCAACTCACCAGTATGCAACCCCCTTGTAGCCAACGATCGGTTGAAGTAGCAGCCGTCATGGATTTACCAGTATACTAAGAGTGTATAGAAAAAGCTTTAGGTGCAGATTAGAACTCTTTTTTAGGGCCTTCTTACTTAGACGATTGTAAGCTTGGTTACAAATTTGGACAATAGTGGTATCTTGGGTTTTTTATTCTAAGATTTTCCGTCAAAAGTTCGATCGAGGCATAAGTTGAACTGACTCCAAAAACTTGGAGAATGTGCTACAGACACCGGATGCTACACCAGAGGAGATTAAAAAAGCTTACTATTCATGCATGAAAGCATGCCATCCAGACCTGAGTGGAAACGATCCCTCTGTGAACAATTTTTGCTCCTTCGTTAACGAAATATATGAGGTAAAATGAAGATAACGTCCGTTCTTGTTTATTCTTCAACATCTATCTGTTCAATTCGGTATGCACTTCCTAGCAGCTGGAAGAAATAACTTCTTGTCACTAGACAGCTGCACATTCTGAATTGCACCGACTTGCAGGTGCTCAGTGATCCGGAGCAACGGCTTATTTACGACGAAATTAACGGCTACACACTTACTGCTATCAACCCTTTTAGAGATAGTTCTGCCGAACGAGACCACGCCTTTGTGGATGAATTCACTTGTATAGGTACGTCTTGTGCTCTCTAATCTGTTCAGACTAGCAACGATCAAGTGAGCATGGGTCAAGTTTGACTCCATTCCTTCATTATATTCCTGTCGTGATTAGATTTCGATCGAAATGTTCTTCCAGTCATTACTTCTTCCGCGGAATCCACCTTCCACGAAACATAATTCAAACAATCTTTGCAGGATGCAAGAATTGCGCACACACTGCCCCCGACACATTTGACATCGAGGAAGAATTCGGTCGGGCACGGGTCATAGCGCAAACTGGGAATCCTGTAATGATTGAGAGAGCTATCCAAACCTGGTATACATCCACGAGCCAAGTAGTTTCTCCCTAGTAAAGGCCGGAAGTTTTTAACAAGATATCAGGTTCATTTCTGTCGTTGTTACCGAAAGATGGCTGACCTACAAAAGTTTTGCAATTCCGCTAACGTTTCACAGCTATAAGACCGCATTGGAAACCCCATGGACTAGTTGCATGTTGTATCTGCACCTGGACCGTGACGTCATGGGATTCTTACAGAGTTTCTCACCTCGGTATCTTACCACAGCCCTGTAGACTGTATATACTGGACTTCAGCTCAACAACTGACGCTTCTGGAGGACGAAATGCGAAGAATGGAGCGTGTGAACGTGCGTATTTCAAGTCTTGGATTTACATCTCTATTAATGGACTGATCCTTAAATCGATTGAATGTTTTTGTTGGTCTAGGGAGAACATTTCAACCAAAAGCTATCAACCTAAGAGAAAAATAATGCGATCTTTCCGTTCAAATGTTTGGTTTCTGGAAAAGCTGTTTTCTTTCAACCGCCATAGAATGTACCTCCCCAAGATCTTTGTTGCTGCAAGTTTTGTAAATGAGCTTATCATTCATTGTTCATTTGTTATCATAGGTGGGGTTGATGCTCTCGGGCATGGGTTTTCAGTCCCCGGATGTCTTCACACAAGTAAGCCGATCCTTTTCCTGACAACGAAAAGGATCTTTGTTTGTCGATGTCTATCATAGGTGGAGATGTATATGATTGATGATGTATGATAGTATATGATTGTGGTGCCTTTAATTGTCTTCCATTGAACCAGTGTGTAAAGTCAGTCTTCACTCACAAGGCACGCACATTTTTGCAGGCAAGCTGGAGATGGGAAAAACGTCAGGCAAAGGCTGTGGTGGGTTCTTCAATTTCCTTCTTTGCGTTTCTGCATCTGTTCCTCCTAGTGGATTTATTATTCCTCATCAAATTGTGCATGCCATCGTTGCTCTCAAGCAGTAAAAGTTTTCGGTGGAAAGGATGCTTTTTCTTCGTGGTGATCCAAGTATATGCTGGGTGATAGCTTATCCAGTCACTACGACTCCATGATGGGCTCTGATTAACCGTTGTGTTTACGTACAGCATTACATCCTTGCTACATTGAATTTTGATCCGAAATCTTCTCTCAACTGATGCATGATGATTCCAACATAGTCTTTACCGTCTCCATACGTGCTCGGATCGTCGTTTTTCACTAGCTACCGGGTGGTTTGTTTTTAGCATGCTGATTTGAGTTCTGCTTTATGTTTGCTCATTGATCTCTCGGTACTTCGGCACCGAGAGATCTCGCAGAAACAGTTTCGAAAGACATTTTACTGAAATTCTTTTTTTATGTACTTCATCCAATATGCCATTAGGTACTGCTATAAAGTATTGGAGTACCTCATGGATGTATATTGGACGCCTCCTGACGTTGTTACCACTCTTGAATGATGTGATCTTGGTGGCACTCAGGAACGCGCGCGGGTGAGAATGATGAAAGAAGGCGGCAAAAGTGGAAAGGAAGCGTGGTGGAATGTGAATTGGGGCTCAGGAGCAGATGAGAAGAGTAGTAAAGCCGCCGCAGGTAAAAAAAGCAATTGAATTAAAAAACTTTTAAAATTTACAGGTTTTTATTACTGAAACAATTACGTGAAGTAGGTCAAAACACCCTAGAAGTTTCTGGTTCAGTTCAGTATCGTCGTTTAGTTTCTGCTCGAAGTGTATGTACATAAAGTGGGATTTTGCTGGATATCTAGACTAGCCCTTACTCAACTTGTTTGACCCATTGATGAGGTGCAATGGCTTCCAGATAAATATTCTCGTGAGAGAGCTGCGAAGACAGCAGCAGCAGCTAGGCGCTGGCGGGAATATTCGCGCAAAGGGGTGGATCGTCGTGCAATTCGTATACTTGCAGCTGAATCGGCTGTCAAAGCCCAAGCTGAGGAAGATAAGGATAAGGAGAAAGCTAGAGTCAATTAGAAGAAAGAAACAACCTTTCATCTCATGACTCACATATACATAGAATTCGCTGAAATGACAACTTCTTAGGAGGAGCCTCGTGTGTAATTGCCTGTTGTCTCCAGAGGAAGGTGCGGACAAGGAGAGAGCTGGAGTCAATCAGAAGAAAGAAACAACCTGTCATCTGATGACTGACATATACGTAGAATTCGCTGATTCGATTCTTCTTGAGAGGAGCCTCATGTGTAGTTGCTTCTTGTCTCCAGCCATCGGTTCTCCAGAGTTAGAGAGTCTTACCTCCCACCTCGCGTTTAGAGACAAACGTGGTGCTCCTGCCAAATGTAAATACACTGTACTGTTGTGCCCAGGTTTGTCAACATGGGCTCGACTATGAATGGGACTATTGATGCATTGATATAAATCTATCCCTGTAACATTATTTGCCACTTTCTTTCGCCTCGTGCTAAACTCTTCTTGTGCCTGATGTAAAGAGTCTTATCATAACTATGACACGTACATTTGAAGTATATGCCTCTGGTGACCACAGTCCGTTGTATAATCTGTCGATTCAGTCTGTAAATGGTAGTGAATACATCTCAAGGCTGACTTGTTCAGGATTGGTGGATATCAAAGTGCTACCTTAGGCCTATAAGAACAATTGTGTAGGCTCACTTGTACGCTCATTACTACATTAGAGAAGTCTCTGATGCCGACACGAATTTAAAACACATAGCGAGGGATGTGACAATGTTGCTTTCCACATTCATTCTCTGACCTCCGACTGGAACTAGACTTCGTTTTCTGTTTTGCGATTTCGAAAAACGAGGTAAATTCGATTTTATACGAAGTGATAGATTGCGGCTCTTGTATAATTGCCTCTGCAAAATCGTCTTGATTGTTGAACAAACTGCTGGAGATATTACTTACTTCAGTTCAGATATTACTTTGAACTGACACAGGCTCAATCATTTATAATTAAGATGGGTGCTGCGTATGTTCGTCGACCCTGTGGTGTGCTTGGTATTCAAGCAAATGCATGGCAAGATGAATGGTTTACCTTCCAGTTAGCACGTTTGGAAATGAAGACCACTCATACGTAAGCATGACAGGTTCTGTATTCGAGGTCGTTTGGGATTTCTGAATTATTCTAGGGTCCTTTCAAGGTTAAATAATAGTTCTGAACATCTTCATCGATGAACATAATCTACCGTGTAACTCTTCTTCACACACGAGTCACAAAGGTCTGAGACACCACATTCTACTTCCGCGAATCAGAGCTTCCATCACTAAAATCGCAGCAAAGAATACTCTTCAGCTCTACGGTGCCGTCACAACTGCATAGGTAACCATTCAGTGACGAAAACAAAATACATTTCCCCTTCCTCGTAGATATCCCCTCCAGATTGTAAAGCACTAGGAAGGTCGTAAACTTTCAATCCGACACTGATAGCCAGACGATCGAGATGCAACTCTAATTGGGTTCAGCACAATGCAAGACATACAGTACTTGCAATTTACACAACCAGGTCAACTTTCACACAAGCAAACTCGGCACAAACATCTATTAAGTTGCAGGCCAATTGTGGAGATATTGACTCTATCGTCCTCCTCGGAGCTGGTTTCTTGTTTCCCTAAAGACCAGAGCCCCAAACTGACTTGGTACTTGTCTCTTCTAATAAGAAAAGTCCGTGGCTACCCAATGATGATGTGACCAATTATTCCAACCAGTTATGACTTATCACAGAAGTTGGGCCGTCACTGAAAACAGAGTAAAAGTACGCTCAAGGGTCACACCCAATATGCCATAATCTAATGGATCGACGTGAAAAGTGCATGCAAAGCGCACCGTGACCAACCATGGGCACACGGAGTGACGCTTTACGAGGAAAAGACTGCCCTGTCTTTCCAACGAACCCGGTAAATCCCCGCATTGCTCCATGTCGCCTCGACCCTCGAGTCACGAGACGACGACGATGTGACGCTGCTGCGAAGCAGTGATAAGGCTCGCAAGTCCACACTTTGCACGTGCTCCGCCGACCCTCTCTCCGGGCGCGTGTGCGGCCAGAACCCGCCGGATCTCTTCCTATCTCCTCGACCGGACCGCGTTCGTCCTCTTCCGCAGTTTCCACCGCAGTCGCAGTCGCAGTCGTCCCCCGCTGGGACAGACAAGTCGGTCGGTCGACTGACTCGAGGAGTGCCCATCACGGTTGCACTTATAGGGAGAGCGTCGCTTTGTCGTCTCCCTATATCGGAGCGGTAATAATTCTCGAGCAACTTGCTCCGATTTGTTTTCCCTTTTTGGTTTTTATTTTACCTTCCTCGATTGAGAATTTTCCATCGCTTTGGACGAAGTCAATTATTGATGGCGATATGCGCCTCGGGCACTCTTTCCATCCCTGGCCTGAAGCCTATTTATTGCAGGCAGGACCGCAGTCGCGAGGGTGATCTTGGGTTACATTTGATTCGAGACTGCGCTCTTGAGGGCTACAAAGACCGAGGTCCTGACCCAATTATTCTTGGATATTTTTAGGCATTTAATATATCTTAGCTGATCGACTTGGACTATTATCTTTAGGCCCGCAGAGTAGATACGAGTGGATTATTATATGTGACATGTCATTTCTTCACAAACGTCAAATTACATGATTATTTTTACATAGATTGAACAAAATTTGATCTCTAGTTGGGGGTCGATATTGCACATATTCCACACTTAAGTAAATTTTAGTAAATTTTTATGAAATCAATACTTAAATACCTACAAAATTGGATTATACAAAACCCAGGTTAGTGATGTAAGCAATTCAAGTAAAAATTTGCGCAGTAGAGTTAATGTATATATATATATAAGATCAGGTTTAAAGTCGAGCACATTCACGAGATATATTGTAAATTTTAGTTCCAACAGTTCATGTTATCCATAGTATACTTTAATGTACTCTGTTGTAAAGTCTAATCGTGCATATGTGTGCATGTCGTGGAAAAAGCTTAGTAACATCCATAACTCCCCGGCTAAAAGCCGAGTTAATAGTCAGTATTGCACTAGAAGTTTAAACTCGATGCTACATATTTGAGATACCATATCTTCCACCCAATCCAATAGTCAGCATTACACAAGAAGTTTGACTGGATGCTTCATATTTGGGATATCAAATTCTGCTTCTAATTTTGGTCCTTGTACAAACGTCCTGGACCCTACAAATTTCTCATTTTTAGTTCATGTCTATGGGGTATTGAAAAGGTTTTCACTTACTTCTACAACGTGAAAACTATAACGAATCCAAGATTCTCTAGCGAGGAAAAGATGTTCGAGCCGTCAATAAAATAGATTGCAAGGAATAATGAAATGAGCATTAATGACAATGCGATGTGGCATAAATGGCTCTGCAGACCAACCTGGTCTCACAGTCGTAGATGTAACGTGTCAACGATGCTTATTGATAATTCGCACTAAATTATTTCGGATGTCTTTTTTTCAGTCTAGATGTGATTAGAGTTGGCGATAAGACTTGAGAACTACGCTTGCTTCCACTCTTGTGCCAATAATGAATTGTGCTCGGACGTCGATTCTCGGCCACGATGGCCACTTCCGACTCTCGTGCCAAAATCCATATTTGCTACGAGTCACGAACGTTTCCGGACCTGATGATGGTCGACTATGCCACAACGATTTTATTAGAGCAGAGCAATGTTTCAGTCTCGCTGGGCTGGAAGCTTCAAATTAATCGATTGGTGCATTCAATCAAATATTTTTAACCACAATTGAGAAGAGATCAAACGCGTAGACGAATCTTCGCCGTAGGAATGATTATACTTCCTTTCTCCTCTTCAGTGATAGAGAAAATATTATCCGAACAGAATTGAATACGTTGTCGACCACCTGCAGCAGCCAATTGCTGAAGTCTCCGGCTCCTCTTGCCGGAGAGGTAATTAATCCTCTAACCACATAAGAATTGTTAAAGCAGTTCCAGTTTGCTGGAACGCAGTGGAGCGTTCGAACCGCGTAACCGAGCCTCTTATGCCCCAACTCAAGTTCACATTTTACTTCAAATTTATACCCTTACCAAGATCATAATTATCAGCATCTACCTATGCCCACCTAAATTGAGTCGAATCAACTTTATATAATAATAGTTTTTCAATCGATTGTGCTTCTAATGAAGTATAAATTCTCATATCAATAATATATAAAGTGATAAAATCTCAAAAATTTTATAATTTTTTTAACAAATATGGAACTATTTAATTAAGATAATGCAAAATATTTTCACATTCATTAATTTCAAACACTAGTGACATGTGTCATATATATATACATGGTATTGAAATGAAAAACAGATTAGAATACTTATTTCAAAAAATTTGATAGACATGGATTCCTTGTTCATTTGGAAATTATGCTATACATATGAACACAATAATATCGAAAGCAAACCGAGAGTTCCAAGTTCGAAAAAACAAACTTCGGAAGGACGTAGAGAATATTCCTCTGATGCGATCCGAGGGACAAACTGCGTAGGTAACAGTAAGAGGAGGGAGGAGGAGACAGAGTGTTGTGGCAACCCGCCCGCGTAGTGAGGGGTGGACATGGTCGAGACTGGGCGCGTCGTCCGCGTTCGAACAGTGAGAGGCTCGAGGGCGAGGCGAGGGCGAGGGCGAGCGCTGCTGGCGCCCGGAGTTGTGGTTCCTGCTCGTGCTCCGAGCGCCTGTTATGATCTGATCGCCATTCTTCGGCATTCCTTCGAGCGCACGCACGCACGCGCGCGCCTTCGTCTTGCGGTGCTTGGGCTTGTTTCCACGAGGCTCGTCCGACTTCGTCTTCCGTCGATTGCTCGTCTGCTCGGGGTAAAACAATTCGGACGGACTCTCTTGAAAGCTGAAGAGAGACAAGGAGGAGGAAGGAGGAAGGAGGAAGGAGGCGATCGGCCTGCCACTTGTGGTCGCGGAATCGGTCGTCGAATTGAACCACATTTCGCTGGTCCTGGTCTGGTGGTGTCAAGGTCAGCTCGCCCGGCCGATCCGCCGCATTCCGGATTTTCTTTGTTGCCGGGGAGAAGAAGAAGCAGCAGCAGTAGCTGCTGCTGCCGTTGGTGTGAATGTTGGTAATGAGTTTGGGCGAGTGATATCGGTGACCACAGGTCGCTATAAATTGCGCGAGCCTGGAAGAAGTTTCTACGATTAGTGGATTATATCCTGGTTCCAGCCGGTCGAGGTCGAATTTTGGTTTACTGAATTTGAGCATTGACGGGTCAATTGGCCTTGGGCACGACTTTTCGATGGTAACAGGAACCGGATGATTTCGGGAGTTTTTTTCCAGGGTCGGCACAAAGATGGATGACTGCAATTGTTCTCCTTCGTCTTGATCTGATGGTGTGAGCTTCAAGTAAGAAGCATGGAGTCGCGAAGAAGGTTTTTCCTCCGGGGTGTTGGGAGGGGTTTCAGGCAGATTGGTTTTTCGGCATATCAAAACTCCTGGTACAAACGCAATATCAGAATGCACTCGTAGCCTCGCTAGACCACACATGGTATGGGATCCAGCTTCAATTCGCCGTCACATAGGAAATACCGTCTTTTAAAATTCCTTCAACAACTGCCATATGCCATATCTGAATTACCAGCTTGTAGCTCAGAACTCATTTGGTAACTGAGGACCCCCATTTGGTCGCAAACTTGACCAACAGTCGATACGGAGGATTGAGGACAGCAAATAAAGTTTCGCTCTGACGAGCAAAATGAAGAGGTTCGTGTATGTGAATGACAGCGATCTAACGCCGAGTATCTACTGCAACAATCGAATTTCCAATACGAAATACACTCTATTCAACTTTATCCCAAAGAACCTATGGGAGCAATTCAGGTGAGCCTCAGTTCACCTAGTCAAGTGCTAAGGTGCACACACCCCACCCGCTCATCAGCTTCGAACTCTGTTTCATTGTCCTTGCGATGGAATTAATATTGTACCTATAGCTGCACAGCAAGCTTGCCGCAAACGGGCCGTCTCTGCTTGCAAGTTTTTAAATCTCTAGTCTGACCACTGGACCTGTGGCCATCTTTACCTGCTCTGTTTTGCAGCCGTTTTATGAACAAATACTTCCTGTTGATAGCGTGCCTACAGTTGTGGCCATTGATTACTCCCGTCAGCCCCGCAAGCACATGGGGCCCCCTTATTCTGATCTTTGCAGTTTCGGCTACTAAGGAGGCTTGGGATGATCACGGTAGATACCTGCTAGATAAGAAAGCCAATGAAAGAAGTGTTTGGGTTCTAAAGAAGGGTATCAAAACGCGAGTATGTTTCTTCACCATCCTCATGTTTTAGAAGCGTTCTCAGCTTGTGCTCGAGATTATTTATCTCTATAACCGGTCAGGAAGAGAACAGGTCCAACTTGGACCTGTTCTCTTCCTGCGATGAATATACAGAGATTTTTAAGTCAGGGCTGAGAAGGTTATGTCTGTGTCTCTGCCATCTGTATTTTCCTGGAAGACAGAAAGAAATGTAACCATTGACCTTATTTAGCTACGTCCAGGCCTTTTGAAAGTACGGGGTTTTAATTGGCTGCAGACTCAGGCCCAAGATATACAAGTGGGAGATATTCTCTGGTTGCGAGATCAAGATGAAGTTCCCTGTGATATGGTGTTACTGGGAACGTCCGAGCCAGGAGGTATCTGTTATGTTGAGGTGCGTCATTCGCTAAACACGCGAATGCTTGCTTGTTGTGGGTTCCTTCATTTTATTCACATGAATAATTGAAATGTTTTGTCTTAGTTCTAAAGCAAAGTGTTTCTGATTTCGAGTCAGTCATTGAAACATGGATATAATATATCAACAACTATCCTCATCCATTTTGTACGTATCAATGTAATGCACAATTTCTGTGATATAATTCTGAAATGTCATGTACATGTTTTTTGGTTTGAATTTGTGTTCTGCATAGCTCGATACTGATGATCTTCTTTTGATTTTGTCTATCAGACCGCTGCAATGGATGGAGAGACTGACCTAAAAACTAGAGTTGTTCCTCCGCCCTGCATTGGTCTTACCAGTGATCTTCTACACAAAATTAAGGTGAGATTTATTTAAGAATCTGAAGATCCCCTGCTATGAAGAGTAAAGGTCGTCAAGAATTACAGATGTATTCTAAATTTCTCACAAGTGGCTGCTCTGTATCATGTTATCCAGGGTGTAATAGAATGTCCACAACCTGACAAAGACATTCGCAGATTCGATGCCAACCTGAGATTGTTTCCCCCCTTCATCGACAATGATTTTTGTTCTCTTACCATTAACAACACTTTACTCCAATCATGTTATTTACGCAACACAGAATGGGCTTGCGGCGTTGCAGTTTATACTGGTATGATGGTGGTGTGGAAGTCCACTGATTTACTCTTCATTTTCTGCATGAGTAGTTGCTGCTTTTGTGAAGTCACGAGCCGAATCGAGTTTCGGTCTCGACTTCTGATACTCTACTGTTTTTTCCCTTCGCTTGTTGGCCGCAGGAAACGAAACGAAACTGGGTCTAAGCAAGGGTTTGCCAGAACCGAAGCTGACAGCAGTGGATCACATGATTGATACGCTTACTGGAGCTATTTTTGTGTTCCAGATAGTGGTGGTCGTAATACTCGGTGTTGCCGGCAATATGTGGAGGTTGTCAGAAGGTCAAAAGGTAAGATCCGAAATAGTGCAAATGCTTTTTGGACTCAGACTGATGTCTTAGTCTACCCATCTTGTTCATCATCAAGACTAGTTCATCATGCCCTAGTGGTAAGTGTTGCCTTGTATGATCCGATGTCCTGGTTCGTGAATACTGATTGAGCAAGCCGAAGTCCACCTTTTATATTCTTTGCTCTCTTTTGACCTAAGGGCTAGTTTACCTGTGATCATGCTGCAATTAGCGCATGATCTGCTGATGCCTCTGTCCCTTATCTTCACCTTCGTTGGCTTGGTGTAGATTTGGTATGTCAAGTATAACTTGACCTCTTCTCCTTGGTACGAATTTTTGGTGATTCCCTTGCGGTTCGAACTTCTCTGCTCCATCATGATCCCAATATCTATCAAGGTATGTCCGTGTAGCTCAGGTCCATACATTTATAACTTAAAGAGTTCTTCATGATTGGCTTCAATTGTTCACCGTCTTTCCGTCAAACCTGAATTATATTGGACTTTTCATTCAGTCATCTAACTATCGGTCGATCTTGACTAGCCTCGAAGTCAGTCGGCTTAAATTACATCCATCTGTTTCTTGTATATTTTCTGCAATGCCAGGTGTCGTTGGACCTTGTCAAAAGTGTATATTCAAAATTCATAGACTGGGATCTGCAAATGTATGACGAGAGCACAGACACCCCGGCTGTAGCAACGAAGTAAGTTACTTTGTCAATTGAACTTGCTAGAGGCGTATATTAGCAAGAGCATAGTAAGTTAGTCGCTGTTGTGCGTATTAGTACTAGGTTTGGTAGACCGAAAATGTCGTTCATGTAAAGCAGTGATTATGGAGTAGAAAATTTGTGCTTCTGAGAAGCTTATCTAAAGCCTACTGTTATCTGTGCTGGATGTGCAGTACAGCTATAAGTGAGGATCTGGGGCAAGTGGAGTACATCCTTACAGATAAGACAGGAACTCTTACTGAGAATATAATGGTTTTCAAACGATGCTGCATCAATCGCGTCTGTTATGGTGACGCTACTGGTGATGCGTTGACGGGTACGTCTTGAATTTGCTCTTTGCCGATCATCAGTTTGTAAGGCAATCTTATTAGAGAAAGTGACGCACTCGAAACTCATGGAAGTAACGTCGGAAATGCAGATACCCAGCTTACACGCGCCCTGCAAGAGCATGTTCCTGAAGTTGTGAAGTTCGTCAAAGTGATGGCAATGTGCAACACTGTGGTGCCTGCTAGGAGGTAAGAGCAGCGGAAATTGTAAGGGCCAGGGTCATAGTGAAGCACTGGATGGTCTGTTGTGTATTCTCGGTCTGCCTGGTGAGGTCATTTTATAGTGCCGGAAAAGAATCGCATTGATAAGTCTACAAATGAATGTCCTTTACTTCTAGCATACAGCTGATTTTGAGGCTGAAGAGAAGAAAGTAAATATTTTCTAATGGAAATTCTCTTCAACGTACTTATTCTCATAAGCTGTTGATGTTTATATCCAGCGGCAATGGTGCACTTTCGTATAAAGCCCAGTCTCAAGATGAGGAAGCTTTAGTGCAGGCCGCCTCACGTCTTCACATGAAGCTTATCAGTAGAACTGGATCTCGCCTCGGTATGATACATCGCTACTGATTAATTCTCTTCATCGCAAAATTTATTATTGTTGGGTTTGCAACAGGAATCTTCACTTATGATCATATTAGTGGATGGTGTTTCGCAGCCAGGGTGAAACTTTCAATTTCCAAGTCTTAGTTTTTGTTTAGCTTACTTACTACATGGATGAAAGTGTGGTGTTTGTGGCGTCTCATCCAAAAACCGAAAGTTGTCGTTTAGCTGCGGTCTCACTTCAGCAAATTAACACGTTTTATTTACGTTTCCACAGAATTGGACTTTCTAGGCGACACTCTACATTACGAGATTCTTGATGTGCTGGAATTTACATCAGATCGCAAAAGAATGTCGGTGATTGTCCGGGAACTGAAAAGCAGGAAAATTAAAATGTTGACAAAAGGAGCTGATGAAACTATACTTTCGATTGTCAACCCGGGTGAGTTTGACTTGCATCATATCATGTCCATTAATGTTTTTTCTCTCTTATACCGAGTTAACTTTATCTGAGGAAGCTAAATTGTGAATGACTATAATCGTGATGTTTGTTTTCTGATTCGCAGAACAGCAATGTAGAGTGATAAGCGAAGCTGTGGAGCATTACTCGCAAGTGGGACTCAGAACCATGTGTGTAGCCTGGCGGGACCTCGACGATGAGGAATATAGCAGGTGGTCAGTGAAGTTCAAGGAAGCGAACAGTTCTGTAACGGATCGTGAGGTCCGTTTTATCTTTTGCCTAATCTACGATTGCTTCAGATCAGAGAGTTTGTGACTGAGGATAACTGTTAGGTACTCCTGTTAGCAAGTGTGGCTCTGGTTTTCCTTGGTTAACATAGCCAGCGCGTACCAATTTCCAATAAAGCGCGAGGGTGTTATTTGTGGATCTGTGTGACACAAGCTATCTCAGTATTAGGCTGCACTTTTTCTATAGAAGAAGTAGAGCGTCCGTTTAGTAGTGTAGCAGGTCACCCCGGACAGTTGTAGTGCGGAGGTTTTGATCTCATGAATTGTTGTCGATAGTCCGGAGTTCCTTTCTTCTGGGACATTTCGAAAGCAACCAGTAGTAGGCTCTCGTAAATGAACTCTGGATTTTGTATAAACCGATTAAAACATTTTGATCACCCCAAAGTGCCAAAGTGGATGGCCCGAATGAACTCCAGCCGTGCTAATGCCATTTATCTGAATTACCTCTCCGCAGTGGAAAGTTGCAGAAGTCTGCCAGCTTATAGAGACCAACCTCGAGCTGCTTGGTGCTACAGCTATTGAAGATAAATTACAGGTACTGTTACAGATACTATCTATATTGGCTTACCCTTATGATCACGTGTTGTTTCAATTGGTTGTCCCTATTGCAAATCCGGTGTCTGCCATTTTAATATGTTTGATGTAGCGGTAATATGACCTAAAAGGCCAAAGTTCTAAGACTTTTCATATTACGCGTAGGAGGGAGTTCCGGAAACTATTCGGACTCTAAGAAAAGCAGGAATCAACTTTTGGATGCTGACTGGAGACAAGCAGAGCACTGCTATTCAAATTGCTCTATCCTGCAATTTTGTTCTACCTGGTAAGCAGCAAATTTTAAAGATAAACGGCTTTGAGATGGTATTTTGGAAGGCTAGGGAAGGTGATTACATCAACTTTCAAAGTTGTTGAGTCCAGGTTAGAAGAAAAATGCGTGTCGCTGATATACATTCATATCGATGTGTAGAACCTGAAGGACAATTGTTACACGTGCAAGGAAGGACACAACAGGAGGTGCAAACAAGCCTCGAGAGAGTTCTACGCACTTTGCGTATTTCCAGTACGGAGCCCAAGGTCAATGTCCAGCAAGATGAAATTGAAATGGCTACTTGTGATGTCTTAAAACATGTAGGTAATTTACTTAGAGGGAGCACACACTATTGTCCGAGAGCCACCAGTGTATCTTAATAGACAATAAGTGTGTGTTTCAAGAAGAAGAGGTCGAGAGGACGCGTGTACAGGGTATTGGAGAAGTGATCTTGGAGACTGGGACAGAAATGTGCAATTAAATATGGATCTGCAAAAGAATAGATGGATGGGATGGATTATGACCACGCCTAGTTTGGAGATTCCTCATGTACAAATTTGGTCCTAGGATCATTCCGCTGTGTTTATCACCATAATTAATCACATGTGGGATCGCTCAGCTATGTATAGTATGTCACTTTCCTGATGTATTATCGCTTGTTATGTTTCGGATGGTGAATTCAGGACATTGCTTTTGTGATTGATGGATGGGCCTTGGAACTCGCATTGCACTACAACAAACAAGCATTTGAAGAACTTGCTATGCTATCGAAAACAGCCATATGCTGTCGTGTTACTCCATCTCAAAAGGCGCAGGTATGTTCAATGTGTGTCCTTGTCAGATTTTTTACCCTCAAACTGTTTGCGTATCTATAGTAGCTCTGGATGATATTAAGTATATTGTAATTCGTCGGCTGTATCACGGTTTCTTCCTCGTAATCTTTGAGGTGCAAAGTGCGGGACTGAGATTCCCGGGTGTTGTTCTTGCCTTTCATTTCAGCTGGTCCAATTGGTGAAGAATTGCGACTATCGTACACTTGCGATAGGAGATGGTGGCAATGATGTGAAGATGATACAGGAGGCTCATGTGGGCGTAGGAATCAGTGGTCGTGAGGGATTACAAGCGGCACGAGCAGCTGACTTCAGTCTCGGCAGTAAGCTAGTTTACAACTTCTGTAATTGTCTAGATTAAATGATCACGATTATTGTTTATTCCTGTTGATACTTTTACTTAGATGCTGTAGTCAGCCTTAGAGACGTGGATGAATACTCTAATATGTACGTCATGAAATAATTTGTTTTCACTTCGGATATAAATGTGGCCATGTCTGCAGAATTTAGATTTTTGGAACGTTTGATACTCATACACGGAAGATATTCATACAACCGGACCGCCTTCCTCTCCCAGTACTCCGTCTACAAATCCTTGTTGATTTGCTTCATTCAGATATTGTAAGCATGTGCTCCAACCAAAAAGGATATGTGTTTTCATCTTTAGGTAATGCAGAGTTTTTTTGATACTGATGGAACCTCCAATTCCCTTCCTAGAGCGTTTTTTTGGCAAATCTTCGAGTGGCAACTAAATCGATTTTTTTATTTAATCTCAGATAAGCTGACTGGGTTCTTGAAAAAGCTTTTCGTTTGTTTCAGGTGTATCTGGAACAAGCTTATTCAATTCATTCAGTTTGATGGCCTACAACGTGGTGTACACTAGCATTCCCGTGATGACTGTTGTCCAAGATAAAGATCTGAAGGAAGAAACTGTCCTTCAGAACCCAGAGATCCTCTATATCTGTCAAGCCGGAAGGTGAGGATTATCAGATGAGGCTAATTCTTCTCATTTATTTTTGCTCAATTGATGCACCTTCCTGTCACGTAGGCTGAATAATCAACTTTAAGTAGTTGGAATGGAGCAAGCAGCTTCTAATCATCAAACGTTCTCTTTGATTTTGTCTGGCTGCTTGCAGGTTGATAAATCCAAGCACATTTGCTGGGTGGTTCGGGCGATCTCTCTACCATGTATAAAACTAAATCCACTCTTGCTCTATTTTTCAATTCAAGTTGTGTATAAGGAGTTTTATAGTCTTCTTCTCATGAGAAGTTAGAAGTCGGCTTCGTTTGACACCAACCATCCACTTGGCCACAGCGAATGCCTCCCATCCTGCTTGTTGTGAAGTCTGAGCAATGCAAATCATCTTTCTCCAATTCGTTGTTTAATCGATAAAATATGGTTTGTTACAGGCGGCCGTCGTGTTTTTGATCACGATACATGTGTATGCAAACGAGAAGAGTGAGATGGAAGAGATGGCAATGGTGGCATTCTCGGGGTGTATATGGCTGCAGGCATTTGTCGTTCCTCTGGAAATGAAGTAAGTGTGACTTAGCTGCAGATTCTGTCCTTCAGTTTCTTTTTCATGTTTCGAATGAAGTTCGGTCGGAAATGTCTTTTCCTTGTCGATCCTTATCCAGACGAGTTGTAGACATTATATTATTTAGAACCGGCCACGCACGAGCTTTTTGAATCTTTAAACAGCACCGTCTGGATCTGAGAGGCTGATTGTGGTCAATGTGTCATGCGGCTGCAGCGCGTTCACAAGTGTTCAAATTTTAGGGATTGTTGGGAACCTTGTACTGTTCTATGTTGTCAACTTTGCTGTGAGTATGTTAAAGTGGGGTGGCATGTACACTATCATGGATCGAATCTGCAGGCAACCAGCCTATTGGCTGGCCGTTACGGTAAGACTTACTGACCCCAAGACTCATTGAACCTTAATTTCCACCTTGGAAGCTGTGCTCTTTAATAGTGAAATTCTGTATTTTGCATTAGATATCATAGGGTCAAGTTTCTAGCTTTCGTAAACCTTGGCGGTACGACTCATCGCGGATTTGCACTTGTTTCGCAGCTAATTGTCGTGATGGGCATGGGCCCTGTCTTCGCTCTCAAGTACTTCCGATTCGTCTACCGGCCCAATGCAATCAATGTTCTTCAACACTACGAACATATGACCGCATCAGCCAATGCTAATCCCGCGTCTGTGGAATCTCCCCTGAGAAGCTTTGAGAAGGGTTCAATGCCCCTTTCCTTGAATTCTCCTTCGAAAGCTGAATTGGGATCTGTCTACGAACCTCTTCTATGTGACTCACCGTCTTCCAGCCTGAAACGAGGAGGTCTGAACTATTCCACGGATTTCATCCCGTCAAGCCCTTCTAAGTTCACATTGTCGGCATATGCTAGAAGTAAAAACAATTAGGTCATAGGTGAAGGGGCTAGTTTTAGATTAATATGCTACTTGTTTAGATTAATATACACCCCAAAGGAAAGCCATTAGGATCCATTTGATGTTATAACCCTGACCCCTTGATGTTTCTCTCGATTAATGCTTGATAGGATGCCTTGCTTCAGGAGGATATGAGTAGGGAATGTTGTAATGAAGCGCGCTCTTCTCCTCTTTAGATTTAGTGTAACAATTGCATGCAATCTGCCGAAGGAGCAGGTTGCCTGCCGGAACGATTCCTTCTCCCTTTCTTCCTTTCAGTCGCAGGGCCAACACGGAAATGATGTGGAGGATGAGAATGTCAGACAGATGTTGTATGCAAGATGTCTATGTTGACGAATAGTGCAAAGTGCTTGGGTATCTCCTTGAATGCCTAGATGACGTGAAAGCTAGTGTCTCTTTGTTCTGCATGTGGGACCGACCTTGCTCTTAGTCTCTCTTGCTTAACGTCTTCGGACTTTGGTTTGACTCCTTCACTGTGTTATGTTTTTGGCGCTTCTTGTGGCCAGATGCATGTGGATGAAACTTCAATTTTGTGAAAGGTTCTGGACAGGGAAAGTAAACAGATCATTTCAATGGAGTCTGTAGCACGGATGCACAGGGGAGAATCTTTTTCTTTGTATGATAGTGCCTGTATGTAGCGAGGACTTTTTTGTTGTGACCCAAAACATGTACGGAACTGCACTGCTATGTATAAAAAAATTGCTGTCCGGATGTTCATGGACAGGAATGTGCATGTTCAGATCCAGAGGAGCCGTCAGTCGAGCTTCTCTCATTACTGAGCCCTCCATTCGTTAGTTTCTTCTTTATTTTGAGTGTCAACATTACAGTGAGATCCGTATACACGATTTAGGTTCAAGTCTCTCTTCGACTTACAAGTTTTGAACAGTTTCCTGTTTCTCTTCTTTGGAAAGGAAAGAAGCTACAGAGCAAAGGTATCTTTTACGAATCAAATCTCGGCTTGGCCGATGTGCCCATCTGTTCCCTTGTAGTGAGCCAGTTTGTATGACACGCTTGTCTACGCCTGTAATTATGGTTGACTCTTAGTTTCCGTGTGTCTTCTTTGTACTGTACTTGAACTCATTTGCTGCCGGAATCTTGGATGAGCAGTCTGAGTCTACCTCAGTGGAATTAATTTATTTCACTCAGGAGATTGAGAAATCTGCCACTGGAGATGTCTTCTTTGTTCTTCAGGTGCAAATTCTCGACTGGTAGCTTCAAGGCTCGTTTTGCCTACTGAGCTAACGAGGCTTGCACACGGAAGTTTTCGTGGTGGCCACGCTCAGGAACATTAGATGAGGGATGCTTATTGGGTTCCCTCCACAGGGAAATTATGTCCTGATTATACATGTACCGAGTATTTGTCGGGCTTGAGACTTGCTTTCCAAGAGAGTCGGTTTGCGTCTGGAGAGGACAATCACATCATCGCGAGTCAGATCATATATGCGGAAGATGACGAAGTTTTGGTGTGTATCATATCATTGCTGCAGGTATGGATGGATGTACTACAGCGGATGCTTCTACATTTACTCTGGTTCTCATTCGTTTGAAATATGCATTTGGCCTGTGCATTTGGATTTGGAAACATCTTCAACGAGGTAAAGAACATCTTAAGCTACTAAACTTGAAGCAGCAGTAAAATGCGTAGCCGGTAAGTGGGACACACTAGACAAATAAGACCGAGGGTCTTTACGACTTGATTTCGATGAAATAAGCCGATTGTAAAATTCATAAAGTTTCACAATGTTGTCACTGTGACACTTTCACCTGATACTGCCGCGAAAGTGTATTCAATTATTCATCTTCACGATTGAGCACACACCATGAAATCACCCGCACATTCTTAAAGTGACGAAAAGAAAAATGATAAATCAAAACATTGAACGAATATCTCAAACTGTTAGACAACAAACAAGTCCCAACACCAAAAAGAGACCATCCAATTGCAACATCCTCCGAGAAATGTGTTTGCAACCGTTAGTACAGGCGAGATGTACACATATAAATTGGATATAATTGTAACTGCCAAATTACATCAACCGCTCATCTCCTCTTCTCCACTTGACTCAGACCTGTCCAGCTTTCTTCTCAGTCCAAGTCAACGAGCTCAAAGCTTCTAACAATCGACCCTTGGTCGATGAGTGAGAACATCTACTGTAATCCATCGAGTTGGGTGTACCCAACAGTGTAATTCCTGTAGGACCGAACAAGTAGTGACTCATTTGAAGAACGGATTGACTCAGTTTCCGCAAAGGAAGTTCGTGATTGGCAGCATAGTACTGTACAGCCTCCCCCTGCACACGAGCAGCCAACTGTGTCGTTACTAAGGCGTGAACCCCATCAGTGGCTATGCGGGATGGCTAGAGCAACAGAGCAAATCAGGTTTGTATGTTGGCAAGCTTGAATTTATAAAAATTGCTGAAAGTCAATAACAGAAACTGACATGATTCTGACAAGGGGAGACTAACACGGAAGTATTGAAAGTTACAGCAATATGCTACCACGAGATTCAATCCCGTACCTTCGGCGTAGCGGTCTGCGTGGTCGTAATCGGTTCCAGGTCTGAAGCCTCGTCCATGTAGACATCTGGCTGAGCCACGTGTGGGTCTCTTTGGCTAATGGACGCTGTCACCGCCATGCCTGATATGTCCGATCTCTTTCCCGACCTATCTGATATCCTCACCTGTGGCGTGCAAAACCACCAGACATTTCTTCATCAAAGTTCAGGAGTTACAGCTGATACTCAAGCCTTGATACTCTTAGCTTGAGTGACCGAGACCCAATGCTGATTTCAAACTGCCCTAACTATTGACCTTACACGGCAAGCGTGAGCCTGTTCATACGAATCTTGTAATGTATGGTGCCAGATGACTCATGCGTCATGGCGGTTGACTGGAACTGAACTTCTTGAAGACCGAAGATTCGTCATCACTTTGTCACACGCTACTGATTATTCAGATGCTACCGAAACAACTTCCGCGTGTGGTTACATCCGGGAGGTGAAAGTACCTTGAGATGCTTTTTGCTACTGCCCTCCTGTACTGGAGCAGCGGTGAAAGTTTCATCCACCATTTGCTCATCATCCCCGTCTTTATCTCCTTGTTCCAATGCAAGCTTGGCTAGTTTACGACGTCGCCCAAGACACACGACGCAGATACAATCGGGTTTGTGATGAGCGGTCCTGTAGTTTTACAAGTGGGATCGATTTGGTCAAACGCCACTTCAACATTCAGCAGCCCAACGTTGTAAGATGCAGGGATGAAGTGATCTTGACTTTACCCAAAGGTGCGCCTTTTGCTTGAAGGCGGGGACCCGCGCCTCTTGTGAGAGGATGGTGGGGGAGAGCCATGTGATGAGGTGTCCTTGTCAGTTGTGGGGGTCTTTGGCTCCGGTTCGCTTTGCTCCTGCTGACACTCTGCCTGCTCTGTTTCTGACAACCAGCCGGCCAACATGACAATGTTCGTCAGAACTGGTTGGTGAGTGCTAGCCAGAAGAAGGTCCTGAAGATACATTCGCCATCTGGGAAAAGAGTACCAACTTAACAGTCTGTGCAAACACAAATGTGGAAGAGACTTAAAGATAGAAATTGAATGATAGAAGTACATCTGTTCTTATGGTCCATGAGCCTCGTTCCACTGCCTTACCTTTCACAACTTTCTTCTTAGAGTTCTTAGATCCTTGCAATTTTCTATCTGGAGTTTTGAGCAATGCCGCCTCTGCTGCAAGCAGACCGACAGCAGCTTGCGCGCATTTATGGGTTAAATGCTGGCTAATCATTTCGACATCGTCTATTTCTTCTTTGTCTTCCCTAGCCTTACTCTCGGCCATGACCTGGTCAACTGAAACTGGACAACGCACTTGAAATCATTAGTCATTGGTGGACGATAGTTTATTGTTCAAAACTCCAAGCTCTAACTGGTACTTCACTTCTTGCTTCTAGCAAGGAGTGCGGGCTGGAAATCCCCTGATCTTCTCATCCCGGTTGATGTAGAGAGAGCAAACGAGTCGTGCACTCAAGTAGAACTCCTAGGGACCAAGCACTTGGATTCTATGCAGGCTCACAAAAGAGTGGCTGACTCTTGTGCGAGAGATATATTGACTGAAACTCACCACTTCTCTTCGCCTTCGTTCTTGAAGGTGGAGTGTCGAAATGCACAATCTTCACTGACTTCAGCTTTGCAGCTGCTTTCGATTCTTTACTCTTTCTTCTTTTCGGATCGTCGTCCTCCTCGGAATCATCCACTTCGTCCTCTTCGCCGTACTCTACCTTGTCATCAAATTCCTCCTGATTTGTCTTTCCTGAAAACAACACCCACGTCAATCTACAGCGCATAACGCATGTCTAGCGAGCACACTTTCAAGGACAAATTGACTCTCAGATGAGCAGAATAACATAGAATAACAGACATAATAGACCTGAACTACAGGAACAGCGACGCTCAATTACTTGGATTTACAGCAGAAGACATGTAGTCCTGAAGACCAGCTGCATTCCAGTGTCTGTTGAAAACTGTCTCTGCAGTCTTCATAATGTCCATTATGGGATCTCCTTCCTGGTTGTACTTTCGGCAGTTGCTCCACACAAGTTGAACATCCTCATAGACTTCTTGAGCTGTGGTATAATGTGTCCCGGATTCTAACAATTCCCGAATGGTACCTAGATCCATTGGTTCTTTGATCACATCCAAGTAATCCTGTGTTCCACCATGGATCCAGGGTAAGCAGTGAAAAGATATAATACTGGAAAAAACTCACTTGAACTACCCTAAACTCATCATTTCCGCCGTCGTGTTTCTTTGCAAAACACACATACTTGATTTCCTATTTGATGGACGCCTGAAGCAGTTAATTTCAATTGTTTCATTGCTTGTTGCTTGATAATTCCCAACGTAAATCTCATGTTGGACAGAAGGGCATAGTACCACAATCTAGCAAGTTCACCAAGCACAGGTAGTGTGAGGAGATCGTGACGGTCGACGAACCGGTATTTCAAGGGCCACTGGATCCACAGGTTCGTTGAAGGGTTCGGCTGATTTTATCTGCATTACCCTCTTGACGACCTGCTCATTAAAAAAATGCACAGTAAGGAAATGTCAAAAACCCTCGATGACATTCAAAGGAAATTGAAGCCATCCGCAATATCTAATCCAAAAATCAGATGAATTAAATTACTATGTCACTTTCATAACATGATTCTCGTGCAAGCTGCCAGAAACTGACCGCTAACGAGGCCTTCAATCCGCTATCCTCAAATCCCCTTCTGGGACTGGAAGACGATTCATGGGCACTTCCAAGAGTTTCACTGGATCGGGAAGGCCTTTGGGTGGTTTTGATGTGGCGCCTCCCAGTCTGGGAGGGTTTGTCAATCTCACTGTCCAGATGGGTCAAAGACTGGCTTGCTGATGGGTTTTGCACATCCATCGGTAGAATAATCTCCAGAGAACTGGAAACATCATCACTTCCCTTTTGCTCCTTAGGCTTCAAAATGGTTGTGGGAAGATTCTCCCTGAACTTCGACGGTTTGACCCGGAGCCGTGAGCTCTCTCGCCTCTCCTGCCTCATCGCTTTGGCCTCCTCAGAAATATCTGTGCTGAACTCTTTCTCCAAAGGACTGGCAGCAGAAGAGAAAGCCTCTCCTGCGCTGCTGTAACCGTCCTTCTCTCCGATTTTCACTTCCCTGTTGGTCTCTGTGCCATTGTCATACTCGGGGAGCTTGTCAGCTGTCTCCTTCCCGAGCTCGACCGATTGTTTAAGCCTTCTACCTGCTCCCCTAAGACCGCGTTTTCTTTTGTTCTCTCCGCGGAGAACTGGGAGGCCTCTGTCATCGACACGTATATCCCCAACAATTTCCACTACTTTTTGAACCCTCGGAGGTTTCGAAGCGAGTACCCCCGTCACTGAGGCCTGCGAACGGAGTCTTGTCAGTCGCTGATTGTCCATGTGCGCCTGCTGCAGTGCTGCATTTGCCTGCCACATAACCGAGAATTAACATACAAAGCACTCAAAACATGCTCATCCAGGCCATGTCGGACTTATTATGTGGGTGGAAAGTGTCTTCACTTCATGAATCCCCGGGAAATTAGCTCTCTTCATTGAACTGCCACAAACACGCATGCATTGGCGACGACATTTGGACAAGTTGACTAGAAATGTACAGCGGGTTGACATTATTCAAGGGCATGTGAGAACAGATTCAAAACAGCTCAACGAAATATTCGGGCGAGCTCGACCACATAAGACCTTCGCTGCGAAATGATATCCATAGCTCCCGAGAATGAACTTCACAGGATGTGCACGTGCCTCGTTGAAGACACAGGCAAACGTGAAACACTCGACCAAATAGTCTAAAAGATAGAATCTCGTTCTTGATCCGAAGCTTTTCCTCGTCATAAACCCTAGGATGATGTCCCGGTCACGAGTTGGAACAAACCCAGCAGGACCTTAAAACCGAAGAAAATTTGAAAATGAGGTCGGTCACCTTGCTACGAAATGACGAATCCAAACACGGGTTCCGCCTCTGCCGTCTGGGTTGAACAAGAATTCAGTGAACTTAAAGGAAGAGCGAGGAAGATTCCGATAAAGGTCCTTCAAGGGCGGAGCTCTTTAGCATAAGCATATGCGAATGCCATGAGACTATTCTCCTTGCCCAAGTTCTGAGACTCACTCCCCAATTCAGCTCTATGAGTTGAAAACTCATCAGAATTTGCCGGAATCTTTCAAGGAGGTGCAGAGGAACTGGCAATCACAAACTCACCCAAACAAAGCTGGAATTCTACCTATGCAGCGTGCTCTGGGCGACAGCAGGAGAAGCCGTAAATATAATACACAACCCCTTCCTACAAACAAACCTTTCCTTTCGAACACAACGAAGAATTCATCACCGATGGATGTGAGGGGTGTACTGTGAGGGGTCATCGGCATGAAAAACATGCAAAACATCAAAATTTGGAGACAAGAAAGATACAAAATACACATACCCTGTCCAACGCCCATCATGATCATGATGTGACAAGCCCAACCCACTGCTGGGACCGTACGTTTGCCCCGTCTCTTTCATGCCCCTAGTTCTTGTAGTTGACCGTATCATAAAATATTTGCTGCTGCTGCTGCTGCTCCTCCTCGTTTCAGACTAATCATAATCCAACCGCGATTTAATCTGGATAATTGCATTCCCTTCACCTGATCACGGCAAATGCTCCAGTGTGAAATGCCCGACCGATGGTGACATTTCTCCATAGTCTGCAATTCTCTGCGTCTCTGCTGATCGGCCCTGGAAATCAAGATCAAGACCGGCCGCCATCATCGAGACCGGGGCGAGCGATCGATCCGAACTCCATCTGAGCTCCCGAGCTGCCTTGCCTGCCTGCTCCCTCCAAGAAACATCCACGTGTACAGCATCCTTTTCTCCTCCTCCTCCCACGCTCCACTCTCCGCGCGCTCCCTCCCTCTCTCCGACAGCCCTCGACGACGAGACCTTTCCGCGTGGGTTCCTGCTTCGAACCTCGACGGTCATTTAGATCCTCCGCTGCCGATGCTCGTCGACGCTGCCACGAAGGAATCCGAAGGGAATCTGAAGATGCCGGCAGCAGCGTGACTATTTCGCTCTGCTCAATTTATGTTATATCCAAAAAAAATGTGGCTAAGTTATTACATTAAATAATTGCGTACAAGCGGATAACAAAGAGTCCTGGAAGACCCATCAAGTTCTACAATCATGAACCTCGACGCCAATCTACTCGCTAAGCCATAATATTCCTAGAAATGTACACTACGGCACTTATCCTATCCAAATTGTATAGATCAATTTGTCCACAACCAACAACAACCTGTTTATTTTGTTACCTTGACTGTTTTCTTTGTATGACATAAACTAACTATGTATGTGTGTTGCATAAGAAACAAGGGAGAGAGTTTTTTATGTTTTTTCATCTAGTATAGTATGATTTCAAGCACTCTCTGCCAAACTTGTCAAAATTTGCATCCATGTAAATCTAATAATATATTAACAAATAGTTGATTTCTCCTAATACCACTTAAAAAATGAAGATCTTTCTTGTAGCCCCACATTAAATGATCATACATTAAGATGAATGATAATTCTCTTTAATAAATTGTCACATATAGTATGGATAATCACCTCATCAAACATTGTAACTTGGTCTTTCCATACCAAGTATGAAGCTCTATTGACATGCGAAGCGTACCTTGTATGAGGTACTCGCACGCCATTTACTTATAATGTCATCATCAACGCGTACACTTTGTCTTCTTCATCCCGTGCTACAACTAGAATATAATCACACTTTATGCATGACTACTAAGTTTGATTAGCCAAGTAAACTTGAAACTCATAGTTCTGAAATTGATTTGAATTCAAACAAACTTAAGCATGATCAAGCCAAAATACACAAGCAAAAGCTTAGCCAAATCCTTGCAAATTTTTTAGTCCAATACAATAAAATAAGATATAAAAGTCTACTAAAGTTGATTGTCCATCAAATAGATTGTATATCTCTAGTACAATCAAATGATGAAGAAAAAACAAATTTATTGTCTTAGAATATGAGCTCAAATGTTTAATCAAACATTTCAGTACAAATCTTTAATACAATCTAGTAATATGTATGAAGTAATCTTTTGGATACAAACTTCACACATACATATCTTACGTGAGATAAAAAGAACTGACATGCAACAAACATGTTGAAAGATTGAAACTTGTCAACTACATCAATAATGTCATATTCTTTTGTAACAAAAAAATTTATATTTTTTACATTCGATCATCATAATATTTATGTTCACGTCAAAATGCATATAACAAAGTTCAAAATTCATTGTATTATTGATAACATTATGATGTTGAAATGTCATTGTATATAACACATTTCAAATTCCACAGTAATAGTGATAAGATATGATGTTGATAGCTCATCAAGGATTTTCAAATGTATGTGAAAATAATTGATCTAAGTAATAGAGTTAGATTACGAAATGTTAGATTTAATACCGAAGATTGTTTTACTTTTCAGTCTTCACACTTTGGTAGTTCTTCCTCAACCTCTTGAAGAATTCCCCACTAGTGCTAAATGAAGTCACGTCACTAGCAACTCCATCCAAGTTGTCAATAGCGATGCTACTAGTATCACTGCTAGTGTCTCCACTAGCCACGTTACCAGTACGTCCGCTAGTACTGCTCCTAGTACTTCCACCAGATGATTCACTAGTATCTTCACCAACAGTTTCATCGGTACTTCCACTAGTACCGCTCCTAATAGTTTCACTAGGATCTCCACTAGTGATGTTACTCGCACCTCCACTAGTAATAACACCACTGGTATCTACACCTCCTTAGTCAATGTACAAGTAGTTTGAAGACCAATTATGTCTCCATGCGTTCATCTCCACAACATACCCTCTTCCAAATTTATGATAGTCGTCCATGGAAGGCTCCTCTAAATGATGAACAATCCCTTCCATGCAAAGAAGGGTGTGAACAATGTGGGATGTAATAACCCACTAAAGGCTAAAACTGCAATTTAGTGGTAGAAAGGTCGAACCCACAGAGACAGAAGAACACACAGGGTACAAAGTGTCACATTTAACAGACCATTGAGGAGTTTGAATTCTCAGGCGACTGTCACTCCCAGAAATACTGCAAGTGTTCACTCGGAGCTCACTCGGAGGTCGCACAGTGCAGCGTAGTTCACTCAACACACACACACACACACACACCTGAAACTACAGAAACACAACCCAGAGATCGGTTAGGACCTCTACTCAAGATTTCAGGGGGAAAGTCTCTCGCGAGTATTCAGCGAAGCTGCGGGTAGTGACTCCCAACTCCGGCTTTTACAACCCTTCCACTAGCTTTCTGCTAGCGTAGGGAACCCGGGTTGGACTTCCTACTTCGGATCGAAGTCACTCACACGCGGTGAACAACACTCTCAACTCACAAAACGCGCAAAGAACACAGGTCCGCACGGAAAGACTCACTGAGAAACGTTCCAGTAACACACCATAACAGTCTATTGAAGAGTTTGAATTCTCAAGCACTTGTCATTCCCATAAATACTACAGGAGTTACCCTGAAGGCACCTGCTGCAGCGTAACCTGAATTTACAACCAAGGCTTACACGAAGTAGCAAAACTTCACTTTGGCATTCAGGGGAAAAATCCTGAAGGAGTACAATCAGAAACAATCACTCGCAGGTGTAAGGGGGAAACTGTTCAAGTATCTAACTCGTCACTGGCTCTGAGCATCGGCAATCACCCGCAGGTGTAGATCCAAATTACTCAAGTCTCTAATCAATGAACTAGCTCTGAACATTCGGCCGAAGGCCTTCAGCTACACAATGCGGATCGCCAAGGTGTAGCTCCTCTTGCGTGGTGACAGAACTAAGGACACAAACACGCAGGGAAAAGGAGTTCTTGATCTGCACTTCCGAAACTGGAAAAATTCCAAGGCAAGACGCCTTGAACTACTTTATACCTTCTAAGTCCTAACTAACACTACACTGCACTTCGCTACGCGTCTGCACGGAACCACGCTACACTACACTCCGCAGAACCTGTGCTTCGCCTCCTGCGCGACGGACTGCCGCGCACTAACTCCCTACCTTGCCAATCTTCAGCTCGATTGCGCAGTCCCAAACGCCGCAACACCGCAGAAACCTCCGTCTCAAGGGTGGCCGTCCCGCGACTTCGACAGAAAAGAATCCAGCTTCTTTGCCACTCGCCGCCGACTTCGACTATCACCTGTCAACAACACGGCCGCACGAAGCTCTAACTCACGCAGTGTGAGTTTCTCCTGCGCCGCCACTTCCCAGTGAGCGTAGCCCCTGAGACAGTGGGCTACTCGCCTCGCCATCTCTTACTTCGTGCGATCTGCCTCCCGTCGGCGATCGTCTTCAACCACAACCAACTGCAATTCGGCCTCTGCACGCTGTGCTCTCAATTCTTCGCACTCGGATTGCAGTTTGCGGATTAATTTTCTCATCCGCCTGCCGTGCGAGCTGACACTGCTCTAACAACCGCGTCTGTCGCACGAGCTCTTCTGACAAAACTCGATTCTGAGCCTGCTTAGAATCCAACGCCTCTGTGAGCTTCACCTTCTCCTTGGCGAACTCTTCTAGCCTCTCATCCTTGACCCTGTCGAAGTGTTTGTACACCTTATTGAGGGTGTACTGACCCCACAAGCATTCATGCTTCTCCCGCAGAGCCTTAAGTTCCCGGTCCACACGGGCCAGCAACTTGCTGGTGTGGACTTTAGTGCGCACTAACTCGACGTAGGACCCAGGCTGGCGAGGGTCTGCGTACTTCTCCATCTTGCGATCCAAGTACCTCAGCAGAGGTACTACCTGCTCACAGAGCGCCGCCGCCGGCGCACCTACCAATTCCTCCTCCTCCTCGGTGGATCCCGATCCCGACACTGATTCCGTGGATCCTCCTTCTTCGTCATCCTCTGAATTGAGGATTTCGATCGCCATTGAATGCGTCGGCGACTGGCCTGGGTGGGGTTGCAAGATGTCTGCCTGTTCTGCCGCCGCTGGCATTCCTGCAGCCTCGCTGCTCCCTGCTAAAATGTCCAAGGCGGTGGGTGAATGCGGTCGTGCCACATTCCCATCGTCCGCCTGTCATGCCGCGACTGTAACTTCTTCGCCGCCGGCGTCTACCGTCGAAGGCGATCGTGCGAAATGTACCTGCGCGGGGTGTAATTGTGCATCGCGCGTACGAATTTCACCCTGCGGACAGTCAATCCGCTCCACCGATCGGTCCTGCTCCACCCTTAGGTCCTGCGCCAGGGATGCGTCCGGCCTACGCGTAGGCGCAAATCCCGGCGCTTCTTCCGCCGAGGGCGCAGTGCCGAAGGCGGCCCGCCCGATGTCCCTTGGCCAGAAGGCCCTTCCGCCGAAGGCGCGGCTTCCGCCGGCTCTCTGGTTGTAACTCGCTGGCCCGAAGGCCCTGGTGCCGAAGGCGCATATCCCGGCGATCTTTCCGCCGGAGGGCCTTGTCCCGAAGGCCCTTGAGCCAAAGGCGGATCTTCCGCCGGCTCCTTCCCCTTCCTGCGTTGCACCGGGGGTGAGTCATGCCTATGCGTAGGCACCCGCCTATGCGTAGGCGAACTTTCTATGCCTATGCGTAGGCACAAATCCACGTCCGCAAGAGGTCGCCTATCCCTGGTGCCGAAGGCGCATATCCCGGCGATCTTTCCGCCGGAGGGCCTTGTCCCGAAGGCCCTTGAGCCAAAGGCGGATCTTCCGCCGGCTCCTTCCCCTTCCTGCGTTGCACCGGGGGTGAGTCATGCCTATGCGTAGGCACCCGCCTATGCGTAGGCGAACTTTCTATGCCTATGCGTAGGCACAAATCCACGTCCGCAAGAGGTCGCCTATCCACGGGGAGTCGCCAATGCGTAGGCGGCACACTCATCCGCGCCGCACGTGGTAACTCATGACC